AGGCCGATCTTGACACCGCTGGTACCAGTCATCGGCAAGTCCACTCAGCTCCACATCCTCCTGTACCACATCACTCCATCTCTTCTCTAGCCCGTGCCGCACCCGTTTAGCCCCCTCGATCTGGCCGAAGAAAAGCTGTTTGGGCATGCGGTGATTGGAGGAGCTCACCGATGGGACTTTGTCCAGATCTTTCGAGGATTTGTGAGCTCCTCACACAATCCAGCCTGGTTAAACCCAGGATTGATCGTAGGCAGAGAAGGGAGGGAATGACTGTGGCCGAGAAGATCCGAAGCTTCGTCCGGAGTGACGAACCAGGTAGCTTCCACACAGCGTTACGCAACCGATGAAAAGATAATGCCGCTCAACTGATTCGGAGTGAGACCTCTACTGTTAAACCGGAGCGGGTCATGAGCACACTGCCCAGGTATGGGAAACTCTCCATTCTCTCCACAACTGCCCCATCACCGATGGGAAGTTGCCGACGACCTGGTAATTGCGGCTCACTCAGGAGGAGTTGGAGGCGCTGCTGCTGAAACTGGAGTGTGCCACTAAGAGGTGGGGCCTTACCATCAGTCCCACCAAAACGAAGCACCTGCCTGGGTATTTTATACCACTGCCCCATCACCGATGGGGAGTTGTGGGAGTGGAGTGCCCAATGGTATAAAATACCCAGGCAGGTGCTTCGTTTTGGTGGGGCTGATGGTAAGGCCCCACCTCTTAGTGACACACTCCAATTTCAGCAGCAGCACCTCCAACTCCTCCTCTGAGTGAGCCGCAATTACCAGGTCGTCTGCATACATAACGTGGTTAACCAATAGGGAGCCATCCCTTGACCGCAACGGGCATCGATCAGCCTCCTATTGTATCTGTACCAGATGGAAATTCTTCCGGTACAGCTACTGAAGGCTTCACGAACTACGTGATCGAAATAGATGTTAAATAATGTGGGAGGCAGAGGACATCCCTGTCGCACCCCAAGGAGTACAGGGAATGGCTCTGACTCCCGGCCACGTAGTTTTACCCGGGCCTGCTCACTATCATGAAGGTCCTTAATGAGCGTGAGCAGAGGGTCAGGGACTCCGAAAGCACGAAGAACAACCCAGAGCCCCGGCCTACTGATGGTATCATAGGCCTTGACCAGGTCAATAAAGCAGAGATCTAAGTCTTGTTAGAATTCCCTACACCTCTATTGTAGCAGATGGACAGAAAATATGGCAGTTTAACACGTAGGCTTTCGCGACCAATATGATTATTTAATGAGAAAATATGGCATGTGCAGGACCGCCCTTTCCTGAAACCGCACTGGGGCTCCGCAAGCCTCTCCTCAGCGTGCCTAGCAAGGCGATGTTGAATAATCCTTGCCAGGACCTTTCCTGGCACACTGAGGAGTGAGATGCCCCTGGAGTTGTTACAGTCTGTCCGGTCCCCCTTCTAAAAGAGGGGGACCACCAGGGCATCCTTCAAATCCTGCGGAACCCGTCCAGTGGCCCAGACTGTTATGATGTCATGCAGGGCAGCCTGCGCACAAGTGCCACCCTCCCTCAGCATTTCGCTTGGGAGATCATCTCTGCCCGGTGTCTTTCCTGGTCTCAGACTCTGGATCGCCTTCAGTACTTCCTCAACGGATGGCACCTCAGCCAGCCACTCACAAGGGGTGACTTCCTCCTCCAATATTTGAGGCACCGTAGCCTCAGCAGGGTCATCCCCACTTTGTCCCATGATCTTTCCCAGGCTGAGGGATTCCCCCTCCCCCAGGACCTCACAGAAATGCTCAGCAAATCTGCAAACCTGTTCCTGGGGGTCAGAGATTGGATCACCGTTCTTTCCTCTATTGATGGTAATAGGTGTGGCGCTGCAGGTTATTTTTTTGATAGAGTTAAATAGGGATTTGTGATCTTGGGCCATTGAGGCAGATTATCTCATCAGCAACCCGCAACCACCACCCATCCACAGCTCTCCAAACTTCTGAGCGAAGGCTGCGGTAAGCCTCCTCATTCTCTGACGTGGGATGCTGTAGACGATTAGAGTGGGTCTGTCGCTTTTTCTCAACCATCCTGAACACCTCCTCTGTAAGCCAGGGTCTCTGGGGAGGTCTGGACCGCATACCGAAAGCAGCCATTTCAGCTGCATGAGTCACAGCCCTAAACCTCGCCCATTTACCCTTGACATCAGGAGTGGGGGACGATGCCAACCCCAGCAGCAAGTGATGATGAAATTCTCGCTTGCAACTTCCACCAGCTAGCTGAGACCAGGCCACCTTAGGTTGGAATGGGGTGCTGGGTGTACACCCACCACCGGAGTCGAAGAATGGCAGGCCCATCTTACAGATGACAAGTCGATGGTCAGAGGGCAGATCAGCTCCACGGTAGGTCCTGGTGTCAAGGACATGGGCTCGCATCCGCTGGTCCGTCACTATGTAGTCCAGCAGATGTTCTTGCTTGGACCCGGCATGCATCCATGATGTTGTGTGGTTGCGCCGATGCCAAAACAGTGTGATGGTAATTACACGTTTTTATTTTGTTCAGAAGAGCCACACCCTGTTATTTGGCAGTCTCCTGCCCCGAGTAGAGGACTCCACCCCTCCTGGGGGCAGGAGCCAGAGCCGGTCCACCGGACCTCATAAGGACACACCTATATGCACAAGTGTATGCACTCACACGAGCACAGACACACAACCTTGCATGCACAATGACATACGATCACAGGCACCTGGGACATCTGCGCATGCACCTACTGCGCGCCTGGGAAGCTAGTTGAGCGCGCATGTCGCCCCTGCCCACGCAGCTCAAGAAGTGCCCCCACTCGGTAGCGCTGTGGCTGCTGCTGTCGAGGCTGGAGGAGCACGTGGGGCAGCTGACGCGAGCGCGCGCCATCCTTGAGAAAGCACGGCTCAAGAACCCACAGAATCCCGAGCTGTGGTACGCTGACACCTGTGTGACAATCTTCGTGTGATACTGACACTGTGTGTAATCTGTGTGTGTGTGTAATCTGTGTGTGTAGTGCAGCTGTTAACACGATCCACTACGAACCGGGCTACGCCAGTTTGAATCCCGCTCACAGCCAACACCAATGACGATTATCTGAATCAGTCCTGGGCCTCCCCTAAGTCGACTCCGCCTCAAATGAGTACCTGGTGTGATGTGTAAACATCGCCACTGGGGAGACAAAAGTGGCCAAGCATGGTGCCGGCCTTCATAGCTGCTCGCACTTGCCCCAACACCCTGTTAAAGCTTTGCAAGGGGTTTTTGTGAGAATGTATGACATTTATTGGCTCAAGCGCCCGCTAAACCCTAACCGCTGGCACCATCGCTATCCACGACTTTCCCACCACAACAATGCACACTGCTGACCTCAATCCATATCCTCCCTGGCCATGTAATCATACCCCTCTATTACCGTGACCCTAGTCATACTCTTACCCTCTGTGCCTCTAACTCAACTCATACTCTGTGTCCTTACAACTGGTTTTCTCACCATACCCTTTAACCATACCCCTGTAATAATTCCCCCTTTCCATGTCTGTGCCAGGCTGGAGTCTGTACGGCTCGAGTACCGCGCGGGACTGAAGAACATTGCCAGCACACTCATGGCCAAGGCCATGCAGGAGTGCCCCAGCTCGGGTGGGTGCCACATGGGGCTGGTGCTGCCACGTCTTCGTCTCTCCGTGTCTTTATGTGAATGTGTCCTCATCGCTCCGTGTCTGTGTGATGCAGAGACCTGTCTCCCATCTGTGTTCTTATGCCTGTGTTTGAGTCTGTGTTCCCATCTCACGTCTCCCATCAGGAATCCTCTGGGCTGAAGCTATTTTCCTGGAGGCACGGCCACAGCGCAAGACAAAGAGCGTGGACGCCCTCAAGAAGTGCGAGCACGACCCCCATGTGCTGCTTGCAGTCGCCAAGTGAGTAGTGTGGTGATGGTGTGGTGAGTGTGGGGTGCAAGTGAGGATGGCAGTAAGAACAGTGTTGGTACTGGTGATTGGAATGCTGGTGGTGCAGTGATTTTGAAGGTCCGACGGTGGGAATGACAGACGATGTGGTAGGGGTGCTGGTGGTGAGGGGGTTGGATAGTGCAGTGATGTTAATGGCAGTAGAGGTAGTAGTGGTGCGGTTTGAGGCTAAGGAACGTCTTTACCTGTGACGGTGTCGAGTGCACACATGTGAATGAGCTCGAGGCCACAGGTGGAGGATAAGGCACACCCCCACTTGGTGCTCCTGCCCTAGGCTGTTCTGGAGTGAGCGGAAGATCTCCAAAGCTCGCGAGTGGTTCCATCGGACGGTTAAGATCGACCCCGACCTGGGTGATGCCTGGGCAGTCTTCTACAAGTTTGAGCTGCAGCACGGGAGCAAGGTGAGGGGTGCAGTTGCTTGCACCGTGCATGCTGTCTCATGGAGCCCACATGGTGCGGGTTGTGGTTTGTCTTGTAGTTCTTTCTACATCTCTCGCTATTGCAGGAGCAACAGGAGGATGTGCGCAAGCGGTGCGAGAATGCAGAGCCACGGCATGGCGAGCTGTGGTGCGCAGTATCGAAGGACATCCTGCACTGGCGCAAGAAAACCGGCGAGATCTTGGCACAGGTTGCCTCCAGCATCAAGAACACGTTCTGAGGGTGGAGGCACCAGCCATAGCTCAACACTGGCGCTTGTCACCACCACCAGGCACAGCAACGCTAGATGACTGCGTCCGAATGCAGTGGTGCGTGGGTTGCTCCATCCCTCCGCTTCTAGTGATGTACACAAGTTGGCCTTCGTTTGTCTCCATGTCTCCTCATGACCCCTGCACCACTGTCCACCATCCCCGCTGTGACTTTCCCAAGTGGGGCTACCCAGTTTAGCCCAACTACCCTGAATGTCATTTTGAAATAAAATTGTTTTTGTAATTCCCAGCTTCCCTTGTACTGCAACGGAACCCAGCAAGGAGACCCACAGCATTTGTAGGCAGTCACCCCCTGAGAATACAGTGATGTCATTCCAGCACCCTCAGAGCATTCCTAAAGTCACTTCTATTACAAAGCTCACGTTTTATTTTATCCAAGAGAGCTCAAACAAGTGTTGCATGTAAACATGTACAAGAAATGGACAAAAAATAATGTAGTCCTTTATTCAACCTAGATAACCCTTCTTGTGCCCTGTTGGTCATGAGGGTTATTCAACCATACTTCACCACGGTTGTAATTTTGCTGCACTACCTCCCACCACATCCAACACGACAAGTTCCACTGTAGAGGACGAGGCGTGGTGGTGTGAAGGGTGACTTCTGCAAGAGGATCCACGAATCACCTGGGCCGTGCCACGTGACCCCGCAAGGTCAGGTACTACAAGGGCGGCATGGGGTTAGGGGTTGAGTTAGGAGTTGTGTGCTGGCAAAAGGTTGTGGAGAAATGAGACGTGGTGAGTCTGGGGTTTGTAGAGATTGATTGTGGCGCGAGGTCGTGTGTGTAGGGTTAGAATGGCCAGGTAAAACTTTGACCACACGACTGCATAAGAGGTCGGTATTGGATACTCACGTTCTTGCGGCTGGCAATTGCTTGCTGCAACCATAGTAGCTCCATGGCCAAGCTGGATCGAAGTTCTTGCAAATTCTCCAAGGAAGTGGGCTCCTCCAGCGAGGGGGGCTCCTCCAACATGTTGACCTCCACTGGTGGAGGTTTCTGGAGAAGAGGGAGCCCCTCCAACCCAGGGGCAGCACCTGCTGTTCAAATCACATGGACACACTTAGCTGCCCTGAGCCCAGGTCCCAGGCTCCCCGTCATCACCATCACCTCCTGGCTCAAGAGACACCCAACTCGGTGGTGAACTTATGGACCACAGGCCATATGCAGCACATGACTTCATTTCGTACAGCCTGCCACTCAGGCGGTGGCCTTTCAAAGATAAATACCCATCAAAGCATCTTGGCCACACGATTGAGCTGCTAAAGGGGGCAAACTGGCAATAACATTCATAGAGATCAGTAAATTATATCACTGCATGACCACTCTTGCAGTGACTGCTGTGTGTAATGTGTGACCAGCCAAAAGTCAGATTTAGCCTTAAAGACTTTCCATTCCTGGCCGACCTGGATCCCTCGTGCCCGCAGCCTCCTCGGGGCCCCTTTGCGTGAGCAGGGGGCTTCCTTGGGCTTGGGGCGCCGTCCCCTGGGCTCCCTCCCCAAGCTCCGGGTCTGCATGCTCCCCTTTGTAACCTCTCGGGAGCCGGGTGGCATCACGCTCCGGGGCATCCCCAGGCTGCACGAGTCAGGGCGACACCGATCGGTGATGACACGTGCGTTGCGAGCAAACGAGTAGACGTGTGGGCAAGTGGATGAGTGGGCGAGCGAGGGAATGCATGTGGCAATGAGTTGGGCAAGTTACCGTGCGCGTTAGTTATCGAGTGGAGTGAATGGATAACTAGGTGCGCGAACGAATGGCTTGGTGGGAAACTTGTTGAATGAGTAACTGGGAGTGTGTGCGCATGTGTACACGGGTTGATGAGCGAGTCTGACCGCGTGTGGCGCTGCTGGATCTGCGTCTCCACTACAGAACTGGGGCCGGGCCACAAGGCCCTCGACCCAGCTGAGCCCAGCCAGGCCGCCTTGCACCTCGCTCACCACGCGCTCATAGTCCCCTCGTAGTGCACGCAGGCGCGCCCGCAGCAAGAAACCCCGGGCAGCAGCCTGGGGGACATTGGGGCAGGAGAACCAATACTCAAAGTCTACTAGACTTATACAGAGACCCAGTCTCAGCGATATAGATTTCCCTTCGCTTTATGCGGTAGATGCATTCCAAAAAAAATGCAAAAAGCGTAATCGCATAAAACGAAGCTATATTTAGACATGTTCCAAAACCTAATGCCCCCTACCCAGGCGCACTTTTACCATTCAATGATAAATGTTAAGCAGGAAATGCAAACAATAAACACCCAAGAAAGTACAATACATTACAGTTAGAAAAAGAAATGCAATTGGAAACAATTCGAATGCTCACTCGAGTATACAGATTGAGAGTGGGACGCCAGTGTACTCACCAACAGAAGGAAATATGCAAGCACAAGTGGTGGTGGGCGTGGTTGGTAGTCTAGATGGTGCGAGGGTCGTCTGGGTCAGACTCGACATCCACAGGCAGGGTGATATCCAGCGGAGAATTCACATGAATGAGGCCGTCATCACCAGCCAGCAGCAATTGAGAGGCGGTGGAGGTGCTGCAGGTTGGTGCAGGATCGATGGTAGAAGTGGAAGGGCCAGCAGGATCGATGGTAGAGGTGGAAGGGGTGGCAAAGCGGAGCCTTAAGAACTGAAACATGGTGCACTGCTTCGCTCGCTGTTTCTGTGCATGCACCTCCTTGTATGGAGCAATTATCGAGTTCAAAGCACGTTTGAACTGTAGGCTCCTCTCTAGGCTAGGATCCATATCCATGGCAGTTTGAGCAAGAGCATCAGCCTGAGATAAAAAGTATGTCAACTTCTTTGAAGTCATGTCCTTGACATTGAGGACCACCTCTTGCTCCTCTGCTTCATCAGCCGCTGCAATTGACATTAAGTCATCAACAGTCAATTCCTCATTGTAGGAATCGAGGAGCTCCAAGACGTCGTCTTCCCGCATGTCAGAGAAGCCTTCCCCTCCTAACTCCCGTCCAAGGTCAACAACATCTTGCACAGCTGTTGACATTTCGGGGAAGCAATTTAAGTAAATCACACACTCTTTCCAAATGGCATTCCAAGCACAATTCATAGTTGATTGCTTCACGTCATCCCATGATGATTTAATATTATTTATTGCATCCCTAATATTGTAAGCCTTCCAGCAGTCACGAACTGTCGGCTTGTCGGGCCCGTCAGTACCCTCGAGCAGTTGGGAGATGGTCCGCCTTAAGTAGTAGGCCTTAAACGTGGATACAACCCCCCCCTGATCCAGAGGCTGGAGCAGCGACGCCGTGTTGGGGGGAAGTAACAAGACCCTCACATTGGGGTTGATGTTTGCCAGGTGTTTCGGGTAACCCGGCGCATTGTCAAGGATGAGCAATACTTTAAAAGCAAGATTCTCCTTCCTGCAATACCGCTCCGACTCCACCAAAAAGTGTTGAGTGAACCAGTCCTCCATAATTTGTCCCGTCATCCATGCCATCTTGTTTGCAGTCCAGTGTACCGGCAACATGTTTCTGCTCAGCCCTTTCAATGCACGTGGGTTGAGGGAGCGATTGACCAGCAGTGGCTTGCACTTGAAATCTCCCGCAGCATTGCCGCATAACAGGAGAGTCAGCCTGTCTTTTGAGGATTTTAAACCGGGCGTACCCTTATCTGCTTTATGTAAGTAGGTCCGAGATGGCATGCGTTTCCAGAAAAGCCCGGTTTCGTTCGCATTAAACACTTGCTTTGGACTGTAACCTCCAGCAGCTGTGATGGCGTGCAGCTCCTCCGGAAACTTAGCAGCAGCTTCACGATCTGCACTTGCAGATTCACCGGTGACTTTGATACTGTGCAAATTTTGCCGATTAATAAACTTGTCGAACCAGCCCTTACTCGCCAAGAACGACTCTTGAGAGCCACCTTCCTCTTGCTGCAGGCGCTCGTACAGCTCCATGGCTTTGGCTCGCGTTGCGGAAGAGGAAATATGAATTTTCTTCTGGTACTGGTCTTCCACCCACACCACCAACATCTTCTCCATTTTCTCCAACAATGGATTTCTTACTCTTGTCGTCTTCTTGGCAGATAGCGGTGTAGAATGCATCACAGAACTCCTGATTTTGGCGGAATTCTTATTGATGGCGCGTATGGTCGACTCGCCCAGGTTGAACGCACGCCCAAGCGCGGCCGGTCCCTCACCAGCTTCCGCACGCCGTAAAATCTCCAACTTAACTTCAAGTGTTAATGCAGTCCTTTTCCGCTTCATTGATGGTCCAGGGAGAGAGCTAGTAGGCCGTTTAGCAGCCATAACAAGACAGAAACTGGCATAGATATGTGCGCGATAACAATGAGAGTACAATTTTCCCCTCGCTTTATGCGGTAGTTGCGTTGCAAGAAAATGGCGCACAAATCGAAACGGCAGGAGACCGCTGCCTGCCGCACACCGCCATGCACACACAGGGCTCGTCACACTCCGGCGGCGTTCAAGTTAATTCAAACCGCATACATCACATTTTGGGTACAAAAAAAATGTTCGCCGCATGTACACACAAATCACACCAACGGAACCCGCATAAAGCGAGGGGAACCGGGAACGCGCGTTGGGGGGGGGGGGCAGCAGCGGTGGCGCCCAGCACGGCGCGTACAGTCACCCAACCCACAATGCACCGCACCAGCAGGCCGCTCGGGGCGCGTACAGTACAACAACGCTGTCACCACGTCCGGCGGCTGCGCCAGTGAATTCAAACCGCATATAGCGAATTTGCTTTGGTTATAAATGTTAGCCGCGAAATCGCGCAAACGGAGCCCGTATAAAGAGAGTAAAACATGTCCCATAGCCTTACACAGATACCCATACACCCACGTGGAGGTTGTTGGGAGAGCAGGAAGTCATGTGACCATACTTCACCACGCTGGTAAGTGCGTATTTGGTGTACAGTCCGATAGGTTTTTTTCCCGCAGTGCACTCTGCTGCTGCCAAGCGCGTAGCCCTCGCGCCCATGCCCTGTCCCATCTCAATCCCGCCGAGCTCGTAGCCCCATCCCAGGCGCTATCCATGCTCAGTCCTGCCGAGCTCGCAAGGTGTTTAGGTGAAGGGGTAGCGCTACCTGCAGCTTCACCACGAGTCGCACCCTCCTGTTACGGTTCTCCATTGTGGCGGTGACGACCACAACAGTGGCACGAACATAAACACCACTAACAGGCGCCAACTCCTGCAACCATCAAACATGCGGCGCACTCCAACGCGCCACGCAGCGCAGATTCCGCGCCGAAAGCGAGGGGACAGCCGGCGAGGCTGGGTTTTATAGTGGGAGGAGCTCGGGATGGGCGGGGCTAACGAGCCGTGAGTCATTGATTGGACAAGACTCAGCTACTGGGCGTAGCTCAGTTGTGCGACACGCTGATTGGGCCACGCCTACAAAAGGCGTGGCAATGATGATAGGCGTGGCTTCTCTTGCCCCCGCGCCATAACGGATGCGAGGTTATTATCAACACGGCAGTCGGCTTCAGCGACTTCGTGGCGGGAAACGCGCGGCCTGGGCTGTTTCATAACTCGGGCGAGTGGCGCCACTCTCGGCATCGGCGATGTCTTCATTTCAGCAGCGCTCCACGCATCCCTCAGTAACACGGTCACATTCGGTGGTGGGAACATGTGTAACACGCGACGCGTTTGGCAATGGTCCTTGATATGCGCTATTCCTCAAAGACGGGCCATTGTCCGAAACTTCGCCTGTAATATATATTTTCCCGTTTCATGGCCAGTGTTATTGACGAATGTGTCGAGTGTCTTTTGTGTACACTTCACGCATGATGGTGACGGCTTAAATTCTATCACGGAATTGCACGACTATCTTTAGAATCAATTCACTTGCACAACATCCATAACGATACTCAAACATTACACGTTTAACATAACTCCTGTACATGTCAAGACTGACATTATTGACTTGTGTTCATTTACACTGCAGCGACGAAGCCCTGTGCACCATTCATATACTGGAGCAATTTGCATTAATGACTATAGAACTTTGCAACATTTCTCTAGATCGCAATGTAAAATTGCATTGCAATCTTAATCAAACAAATTGTTTTAAACGCACACATGGTACAATAAGTGTAAAACGGCCTCTTATTGCATCAATCAATCGCAGGCGCAAGAAGAGCAGCGGCGGCAGTAGGAGGAGGAGGAAGAGGAGGAAGAGACGCTCCGCCATGGCTCCTCGCCGCGCTACAGCGGCGCAGCGAATGGCCGAGAGCGCGGCCGCCTCGCTGCGGGAAACTCGCGGCCTCGTGGACCACGGCGTGGAGCGCGCCGTGGCGTTGGCGCTCGACATGGCCAAGCTCAGCGGTGCTCGCACGCGCACGCATCCCCGCCACCGCTCCCACCATCGCTTCTACTCTCACTCCGTTTAACGCGTGGTCGGCGTTCGCGACCAATACCATCCATAGGAGGTGTTTTTGGGTTAGATCGCGTAAATATAAATGTGTCGCTACACCCGCCACCACCCGACACAGCCATTTAGTAAGGTTTGTCACGTAAACAGAACGTGCCAATTCGTTACTAGTACTGCACAGCGGTTGTGTGTTGGGAGAGAAAATCCACAATATTTACAATCTGAGTACGACGTTTCGCCAGTACTTACAACGAGCAGCATTAGGCGGACAGTCAGATTTGTGGACACATCTTCCTGTTTCGTTCCTTAATTAGAAGGATAAATATGATCATGTTATTCTTTGGGTCTTTCGGTAAAGTCACCACGACGTTTTGATCGCAACACAAGCGGTCGTCATCAGGAAAAGGGGGTTAGCCTCTTTGAACCTATCTACGTGACTTTACCGAAAGACCCAAAGAATATGAATTCCTGCAGTCACGAAAGCTTTAAGTCAAGATGATAACGTCACTTATGAGACCTTCACGTGCGAAGGGGGAATTAGTTAATGCATATAAATTGCAATGGGTATCCATTGCCGGTTGGGTTATTCATATGGTAATCGACGTACATTATGCATGCACATTGCTCTTGTACCTCCTGTTCTTGTACCGATGAGAAACAAGAAGTGCCAACACACCACATACCCTACCCCTGCCACTCTCGCAGTGAAACACCTGTACCACTGTCATTCCACCCTACCCCGAAAACCTACCCCAAATACTCCATCACCTACCACCCTTATCACTACTCCTCGAACTGCCAGTTCGCCTTCCCGTTTAAGCGGTTGTGATCAGATTGTGTTCAGACACAACCCAAGAAGGAGAACCGGCACTGATTATTTTCTCCAGAGGTCGTAATCTCTAGGCTTTTGCAGAGCATGTTTATATCCATACGTACACACACATGCTGCTGCTTTGTGCCACTCTAGTGCTGCTCTCTGTGTTTCTGTGGTGAACCGTGCTGCTGATGTGAGCAGGTGACGGGGCCGTCATCGAGCAGATCCAGGACACGCTGTGTCAGCTTATCACCGTTGACAAACATCTTAACAGCTTCCTCTCGGCTGTGAACGACGCGAAGCAGCAGGTGAGCAGGGCACGGACACAGCTCCCTCTCCTCCCCCCTTCAATCCCTACACCCCTTCTCCTCGACTCTCTTTTACTCCTTTGTCACCTGTCCCCTTCCTCTCCTCGCCCTCTCTTGTCATTGTCCTCTCTCGTTCCTCTCCCTCTCCTCTCCCCCTCCTCTCCCTCACGTGACACAGTAACTGCTCTCCCTGACAGCACGAGCAGGCGACGAGTGACCCCGTGGAGGACCTTAGCAAGCTGCTTGCAGCACGCATGGAGACCACGGATTCCACTTTCGAGCCTCGCCAGGACCAGCGTTTCCTTAACTTTCAGCGGCACATCACAGACATTCAACAGCAGGGTGCGTGTGTTTGTCTGTCCGAGTGGAGTGTCAGTGTAGTGGTTAGCGTACTACACGTGATCCTGGTTGCAAACCACATCAGTGGCAAATATTTGAACCAGTTTTGGGCCTCTCCTACGTCAACTCGGCCTTACAATGAAAGTCTGGTGTGGTGTGTAAAAATGAGCACTCGGGAGGCAAAGGCGGCCGACTATGGTGCTGGCCATTGACTTTACCTTACCCAACAGCCTGTGTAAGCTATACTTGGGCATTTCAGATCTAGTGGGGTCTCATCTGACATTTTGCTCTGGACCTTAAAACATCTTTCATTGACTGAGAATTGCCTATCATTAACTGCACCCATAGGGGTCGCTTGGGAGGTCTCACAACGCTTGGAGTCACCTCACTCATGCATCATTCACCTATAACCACACCCAGCAGTCACAATACCCAGGTGTCACAGTACTCAGGCGTCACTCACCAGTCACCTCACCCAAGCGTCACTATGCCCAGGTGTCATTCACTCATCACCTCACCCAGCAGTCACTATACCCAGGCGTAACCCATCACCTCACCCAGGCATTGCTCATCGTGCCCAGGCCTCCCTCATGCAGCCCGTGCGTCGTTTATGTAAGTTGCTGGTGCTGCTGTGTTGCAGTGGAAGGGAATGGCGCGGAGGGAGAGATGCAGGAGGATGTGGTGTTCTCCCAGGCGCAGCAGACCCTCACATGCCCCTTAACAACGGTATGAGCTATACAAGGACAGGGTGTGGTCAGCCTCGACGGTACTGTGCTGGTGGCTGCTCGTGCATGGAGCAGGTAGTGGTGGTTGCTCATTAGGGGTTCGTGGGGCCTGGCTCTGAGAGAAAACAACACCTTTTGTGAACTACCTATTATGTCACATTTTCCACTCTATCAAGTACAGGCAGCTGCTCATAATCGGAACAAAAGCCGCTTTACTAGCCCCTTGTAATCTCCTGTGAGTGATTGCGCAAGTGTATTATTGCCATAGGTCCTTTCCCTGCCACCTGCTGTGCAGCAATTACACCAAGATTTACGGATTCCTACAGCACGTAGGGGGCACTCGCGTTTCGGTGTCTTTCTGGGCAATAAAGGGACATGGCAACTTTGAACGCTCGCCTTGCTGCGCATGCGTTTATCAGTAACGATACTCAAATACTTCAGGAATAAATGTACTCTCCTCCCGGGCCTCCGTGCCCCATATTATCCACCAGCCACCACTGCAAGGAGGGGGAGAAGGGAACTGGTGCTGATATTGTCTCACCCGTCTGTCGTGCGTTCTGCATTTTCAGGTGCTGATGCGACGGCCGATGAGAAACAAGAAATGTCAACACAGCTATGAGGAGTCAGCCATCATGGAATTCATCCACAAGCAGCGCCAGAAGAAACGGCCGATCAAGTAAGTCCTATCCCACTTTTCCACTGCACAGCCGAGCTCCGCCAACGCCACGCTGAGCCACCTCAGAGCAACCATATCACCGATGTTACATGCTAAGAATGAACCAGTAATCACTGATGCAAGGTATAATGAAAATTAGAAATCCCATTCCTTGCTCTGCTTGACCCCCCCCCCCCCCCCCCGAGCACGTGAGTCATGCCAACGTTGGATATGGGTGGTTTTCCACTTGCAAATGTTTATTTACTAAGTTGTAACCAAACCATGATGCACTTTGCCTGACAAGCAGAGCCAGGGGCCGGTAATAATGATATTAGAACTTTGATCATTGCATTGTTTCATAAATATCCCATCAAGAAATAAAATATTTAAATAAATAAAAAATTGAGCAACGTTTAAATCGGCTGCATCTTGACCTTAACCCTTGTGTGCACATGGTGTGCTGGGCACAGGTGCCCTGTCGTGGGCTGTGATAACGTGGACATTCATAAGGAAGACCTGGAGTTTGACCCCGTGCTATTTTGCAAAATTGAGAGCCGGCGCCGTGAGGAAACCAGCTCGTGACGGAATCAGCGGTCCCCTTGTCTTGGAAATTGCCTTTCACTCCGCAAGGATGAGTTTTACATTTAAAATCTCAGTTTTTTTAAGAGTAGAGGGATGATGCAGCCCAGAGGTTTGAATTTGCCGCTTGTTACAGAAGTTTGCAGTTTGAATCCGTCTGGCTGCCTTGGTTAACACTGGGCACATTATCCATAAAATACATGCCATCTGCTTCACAATTACTGTAATGTTAAAGGTCCCAGGATATCATTAGAAGAAGCGGTCATGTGTCCGTGTCATGGACCAAATTTGAAAAATTACACTGATAATTTCTTAAATCTGAGAACAGAAATTGTTGCCCCGTGTTGTGAAAACTTGGCAGGACCTTCCTAATAAAGAGCTTTCAGACTTATTGATGCTTTCCTGCGTGTTAGTAAACAGGTGTATTAATGATAATGCAATTTTTCATACTTTTTGGTATTTTATGATACATTTAATATTGACGTGACGTGATAATATAACGTGACATTATGATAACAAAAGTAACGTCAACGGTACCAAGTGACACTACTTACAGTGGAAAAGGACAGAACTAATGCGTTGTGAGGGACCTTCATTTCACATGTCCTTTCCTGTGACCTCATACTACCACATAAATCTGAAACTGTTTTGGATTGAATCCAAACACGGGGAAGATGTCCCTATCTTACCGATTCTATCGTTCGTGTAGATTACTCGACGGTGCCACTCGTTCCCGGGTGCTCATTCTATGGTACACATTCGTAGTGCACCAGTGATTGTCTTTAAAGTTCCTCTACTTTATTCAGAACTGTTTTATGTCATCACTGCTCACTGTCCCTGGTCACCCTTAAGCCCAGTTACATTACTGTTGGGGGTTATGTCAGGTCGCTGTGCCTCCACTTTTTAGTTTTTGTGTCATCAGATTAACCTCCACGGAGACAAGGTGGCTGGGTGACTTAGGTCAGAGACCTTGAGCCGGCACCCCCAATAACATAGGTACTCATTTGGGTTTCATGCACCTGTGATTAAAACTGAGTTCTTGAGTGTAGTGAGCTGATGGTCTCAGCCCGGTCACAAATTAGACCCATAGACTGACTCGGTCACATAAGAGGCCCAATAGACTTGCATAAACTGAGTTGTGAATAAACCTGATTCAGAAGTGCCGCGAAGTAGACGGTCCCAGCCCAGTCACGAGTCACTGCACAAGTAAGCTATTGTTTACCTTTATTTAGTTCTGTAAATTAAGCTAAATTATAAATACTCTTTGGTTCTTTCGGTAAAGTCATGTAGGTATAAAAAAAAAAATCACGCTTCGGTCGCAACACAACCAATCACCTCCTCCCCAAACTACTGCTCCTTCCAGTCAGCTTACCGTCAAAACTACTCCACAGAAACAGCACTCACCAGAATGCTCGATGACATTTTAATGATTATTGACTCCGGCTCCATCGTTGCACTTGTAAGTCTGGACATTTAATCAGTCTTTGACACCGCCAACCAGTCGCTCCTTACTTCCCTCCTGAAATCCGACTTCGGTATATGTGGCTCAGCACTCAAGTGGATACTGTCGTACCTTTCTGATCGGCAATCCTCAGGGTGGGCTCGTCCACATCTCCTGAAACAAAAGCATTGTGGCGTCCCCCAGGGCTCCATCCTTGGTCCCCTGCTGTTCACAGCCTACGCTTCCCCGATCGGCCGCCTCATCGCAAGCTTCTGTGTTAAGCACCACTCATGCGGACGACACTATTCTGTTCACCGCCATCGATTCTACCAATGCGTCTGGATTTGAGAGGTTCTCAGAATGCACCACTGCCTTGCAGCAGTGGTTCTTTGCACACAACCTTGCCCTTAATCCGTCAAAGTCAGTGGCCATCATGTTAGGTACCAGGAAACGTCTCCACTCATCCACGCTCCCAACACACATACAGTGAAACCTTGGATTGCGAGTAACTTGGTCTGCGAGTGTTTTACAAGACGAGCAAAATTTTAAAATAAATAATAATTTGATAAACGAGCAATGTCTTGCAATACGAGCAGTACGTACAGTATACGCTTTGTCTGCAGAGCGTCACGTGATCACAACTGAGCCAATGGTTCTTCTCGTTCGCTGCGGGATTGTGGGTAATCATCTCCCATGCTCGGTCTCAGTCGGTGTGCCTCACTCGTATAGTCAACAGGGGCGGAGCCAGAATTTTGACTTTGGTGGGGGCTGACTTCAATATTCTGAGATATCCAGTGTATGTTTTCCAATGGGCGCCACAAATGTTTAAAACAAATTTTATTGGATTTGAACACGGAGTTTATTAATAGGTCGGAGCCGCTGATGTGGCTAATAAGTTCGAAAGGCTGCCGCTCAAGCAGCCTGCAGGGCAGCACAAGGTGGCAGCCAGCATTTTGCAGCAGCCGGATATCCGGTTATCCCGATTACCGACTTTCCAAAAATTTCAGGAGGGGCTAAGTCCCCCCCAGCCCCCCCTGTAGCTCCACCCCTGATAGTCAACATCCGCGTGAGCGTATACTGTTTACTACAGTATAGTGTTGTGACCACGTGTGTGTGCGTAGAGCATTTTTTTATTTTGTGTCCAAGTGTAGTGACTGTTCTTTAGTAACTGTACTGCAAGTGAAAGTCGTCCTACACAATAACCCTCCTCTCTCTCGTCTCTCTCACACCAGCCACGATTAAATGCTATTAATAAATTTGATTACTTTATATTAAATTGAAATAATGAAATATAAAAAGGTATTTTGTATTAATAATGTTTATATGAATACAGTATTTTTGGGTTGTGGAACGAATCATCTGAGTTTCCATTATTTCTTATGGGGAAATTTGCTTTGATATATGAGTGCTTTGGATTACGAGCACAATTCCGGAACGAATTATGCTCGCAATCCAAGGTTTCACTGTACACATCTTTGGTCACAGCATCAGGTTCACCGATCACTTCAGCTACCTCGATGTCACCCCAGATTCAATGTTATCCTTCGACCGTCAAACCAATCATATCAGTTAATGTAACTTTCACCTGGAGGCTCTTGACACCTACGTCCTCTCATCTCCACTGAAACTGTCAACACATTGGCATGTTGCATTGTTGGGTCTCGCCTCAGCTATTGCAACTCCATCCTAGTCCGGTCCTCCTCTGGCAACCTAAAAAAACTTCAAAGACTACAAAACAACCTGGCATGCGTCATTGGCCGCACTCATCCCCGTCTCGACTCACTTGCCTGTCTCCGTGCCCTCTGCTGGCTACCCATTGCCAGCAGGGTCACATACAAGATCGCCTGCCTCTGCCACTGTGCCTTCACATCTGCCTGCCCCCCCATACCGCTCTTCATTATTGACGACTTGCAGCACAGTACACGGCAGATGCCTTCGCAGTGCGACTCACGACCTCCTCTTGATACCAAGATCCAGGATGGTCACGTCTATGCGCCGTTTCTCAGTGGCTGCCCCAACAGTCTGGAACGGAATCCCTCTGCACATTTGTAGTAACTGTACTTGTCACTTTGTCATGCCTGGACTTGCGAAGTAACGGCCGGTAATGTTATTGCGTGCAGCCCGGGTTGCGGGCTGCAGTACCAACACAAGCAGTGGTTGGGTGAGCGCTGGTTAGCGCGGAAGGCACCGCGGAGCAGTGTGCGGTGCCGGCTCCCGGAGAGGGAGCATCAGCCAGCCAGGGTTACGCTGGCTGACCTGTTGTCACGTGACCGGACGATACTGGAGGGGGGCCACGGGTGGACGGGGGCTGAGGGGCGGTCACGTGGTCCTGGAGAGCTTTTGGGAACATTCTAGGAGGAGCTCGAGGAGCCTGGAAGGGGGGCGGGGCTAGGGGCGGGGCTAGGGGCGGAGCCAGCCCCAGCGCCAGCCCCAGCACGGGAGCATATAACTAGAGCTCCAGGAAGAGCTCGGGGTGCTTCAAGTGTTGGCATTCGAAGATCCATGTCGGGGAGAAGAAGCCTCTAGCCACGCGGTCCGGGACCCAGCTTGTGGTCCGGACCGGGATAGCGAATCGTGTCTAGTTCTGCCGTAGCGTGGTTAGATGGGTATTCGAGACCCGAGCATAGGTTGTGTTATGTTCGTGCTGTTGTGCAAATAAAGTGTTGCTCCCAAGATAACGTCTGTGACTCAGTTGGACTCACTACACATTCGCAGCATCACCTCAATTGTCTCCTTCAAGAGACACTTCAAAATTCACCTCTACAACCACACTTTCGAGTGACTCTGAGCTTGGCTCCGCACCTCTGAGTTGCGGCCGTTACTTCCACAAATTGGCGCGCGTTATAAATTGCATTATTATGAATCGTCATCAGGTGCAAAGATACAGCAGTAGAACTGCTGAACAGGAAAGGGCTGTTGCAAGAAGAGGTTATAAAAAGGTTTGAGGTGGGTGTCACCCAAGGGTAAGTAGGCGGGGTCAGAGATGGAAAGGAGTCCCGTCGCTGCACGCACAGCAGCTGCGTTAAAGGGAGAGATTGGCATGTTAATGTAAACGAGTTTAATAGAATTAAACTCGTGCGTGCGGCGACGGGACTCCTTTCCATCTCTGACCCCGCCTACTTACCCTTGGGTGACACCCACCTCAAACCTGTATATAACCTCTTGTTGCAGCAGCCCTTTCTTGTTCAGCAGTTCTACTGCTGTACGTTTCCACCTGATGCCGATTGGTTGTGTTGCGATCAAAACGTGATTTATTATTTATTTTTCTACCTATGACTTTACAGAAAGAACCAAAGAGTATGGACTCCTGCAGTCACGAAAACTTCAAATCAAAATTAAATGATAAATATTTTAATTAATTAAAAAGGTTTATCATGAACATTTATAAGTGGCAGAGCGAGTGGGAAAGTGTTGTCCCTTACTGTGTGGACCAGAGATCATTTGTAGAGGGATTTCAGAGGTAGCTCTGAAATATCGCTTCTATGGGCCAATTTCTAACATGCTCCATGAGAGACCCGGAATCTTAGTCTTACGACACTGATAGCACAATCTGTGTTGTGTTCACCAGCAACAAAAGCCAATTGGGTATGAGGAAATGAAGGGGCCACAATTGAAAATTAAAGTGGTGTCAGATGTCTGCTTGGTTTGACTTTTTACCAGGCATACAGATGCAGCCACAACACTTCTTGGTCAGAGGCATTTTATTGGAATATGTCCACCACCACTTGCATTTACAACGGAACCACATTCACGTCTATTTCAATTTAAGTTCCATTGCAAAGCCGTGCACATTTTATTATCAGGTTGCTGGATGGTGCAGCCATGTCCCCAAATTATTTAGATCCCACCAGACTGTACAGACTCAACAACACAGTTATTTCAAACAGGTATTTACAGCTCTCCAATGCATTTCCACGTTGTTTGGAACGAGGTTCGACGGTTTGCTTTATATGCCAGGAACTTGATGACAATCCAAAAGCACAATGGAGAGCTATACAACACAAGCCGAAGCACCTCCACAGGGTGTAGGTGGTTACCCCTGTCAGTTGGCACACCCTTGGGCTCAGGACTACTATAAGGCTGTAATCACAGCAGTCGTGGCATTGGCAGTATTGACCCCCCAATCCCACCAGCCACTGCCCCCCCACCAAACACCCGGGAAGTTAAATTGTATCTGCTGTGGGCATGGTTGTGGGAGGCAGTACGTGGAGTAATGCAGTGGTGTAAATTTTAGGGACTGTCACTAAATTTAGCACTTTTTTAGTTTCCCTGCTGATTAAATGTCAATGGCCAATGACAAATTTATAAACTTTTTCTAAGATTTAATTTTGTTATGCAGACTTAGGAGCGATTTTTGGTATTCAGCCTCCCGTAACAGTTTACTGTGTAACGCTTTGTAAATTTTGTGATATTTTTTACTTTAGGTCTATCATTTGGCAACTGGAAAGTAATGTGGGAGACTAACTATTTATAATTGCGCATTTAGTTGGGGAAAGGAGAAGACGATTAAAGAATAAAAATAACTAGTGATAATTTGGAAGGGAAGTGATAGCTAAATCAAATGAAATTTTCCCATTTACTGTTTGTGCATTTGTGTCTGAAACTGCATTAATCTTTAATGGGTGCGAGAATTACGTGCGCAAGGGCACATTCCGTTTAACAATCCCAATTCACCGCTGCTCACACAGCCTCGGTGCTTTAAGGAGTTGGTAACATTGGTAGCAGAGGGGGAGGGCCACGCCATCAGCACCGGATTCCCATGCCGATGGCCATGAAGGTGCCAAAAGTGCCGCCGCTGTTGAGCATGGTCTTGCCGATGCCTCCGATGAGCTCGCGGTTTCGCAGCCCCATCCTGCGCACGCACATCACGACGATAAGGGGGCAACAATCTGGCTGAAGTTTAACTCGTGACACGTGTATATTTCCCGCATGGCCTATCAGCAAATCGCCCTGAATGCACCCGATCTCGTCACATCTGGAGAGATCAGTGGCGTTTGCGCCTGGATCGTACTTGAACGGGAACCAGCATACACCGGCAGGTCATAAGCGACTGCAGTGCAGTGCAGTCTTAATCAGAGCGGTGCAGCTTTATGGTACTGTAATGTGCCCCCTGCCTTAAAGCCACAATAGTACCCACAATTTACCCCACCATACGTGACCTGAGTGAACCGAGGGCGAAGTGGGCTGGGGCGAGACACTTGCAGCATTTTTCGATTTAAAGCTTTCGTGACTGCAATGATTCATCTTCTTTGGTTCTTTCGGTAAAGTCACGTAGAATGAGAATAAAATAATAAATTGATAAAATAAAATAACACAATAATATTCTCACGACGTTTCGGCCACAACACAAGCGGCCTTCCAGCGCTGTCCTACCAGACAGTCTCGTCCCTTCACCTGATGAAGGCCGCTTGTGTTGTGGCCGAAACGTCGTGAGAATATTGTGTTATTTTATTTTATCAATTTATTATTTTATTCTCATTCTACGTGACTTTACCGAAAGAACTAAATAAGACTTGCAGCATTGTTTCAGTTCCTGGGATGGGAGATCGAAATGGCGACCTCTGAATTGCAAGTCCACACATCATCCCAGCTGCCCTCACCTGAGTGCCGAGAAGGTGCCGAACAGCGCGCCCGCTCCCATGCCGACCGCGCAGCCCATCATGAAGCCCATCTTGACCCGGTCGAAGCAGCTAGGCTGGGACTGTCCGTAGGAGCCCACGGGGACCGGCATCTCCTACACCCATCACGCAGACAGCGGGGCTCCGATTAGCTGAGGGACGAGCATGGGATATGGGGGGGGGGTGTCAAGTGACGCAGCCATAAGTTTCAAGTTTATTTAGTTGAGAACTAAAGAGACCAGGGCGAGTCTCGTGATGTTGATGTCAACATCAGCAGCAGCTTAACAACAAAAGCGCAGCAGTAAGCAACAGCCTCAGTTACAGGAACCTGAAAATTTAGATCGACGTGCCATTGTGTGCTTTTGGTAACATCTACGAGTACGTTAAGAGCGCCGAGTCTAAAAGGCGAGTGTTGTAAGAGCTGTAGGCTATGCGAGTGCTATGAGTTGTTTCTGCGACTACTGCAGGTGACGATTCCCTAAGCGCTGCTGCCGACGTGCGAAGCCAGGGCGACTCTACGAGCAGCCGATGTCGTCCGTCGCCATACGGACCCCAAGTTATACAAGGGACCCAGAGACCCATACAGGGGGTACAGGACCCCCAACGGGACCCTAAAGGGTACCTGGTCCCACCTGGGTCCTACAGCGGTCTGGAGACTCCACCGGGAACGTGTAGGGAGGGTTGCGGGGAACCTCCCGGAGTGCCGTAGGCCGCGGTACCCACCTCGCTGTTTGGTTGAAGCCAAGGGCAGAGGGAGGCGCTCTGCGCGCCTGGCCCACGTGGTCCCTGGGAAGGCGGAGGGAGGCGCCGCGGCCCCCATTTTTGGAGGGGGTGAGGGGCGTGGAACCGCTCTCCCTCACCAACATGGCCGCTCGCCGCCTGCTTGGACGTGACGCCGCAGCGCGCACTGAATAGCCGCGCGGTAATTTTTTTTAATTTTATGACGGAATACGAACGGCGGCCGCGCGGCCCCCATTGGGCGACTCGCGAGCAGCTCGCAGGGCCGTCCAGAAACAAACAAAAGAATCGCGTACACGCAATAAAGCGAGTCGGTGGCACGCTGCAGTGACGTCACCGCGTGTACGTCCGGTGGACGCGCGACGTCATCAGAGTGCAAGAGAGCGGAGGGCCCAACGTTGACCCTTGGAGGTGGCGCTCGTGAACGACACCTCAACTCCTCCGGACTGCCCGGCCACACGTCGCTGTGTTGTTGCGAGCGCCGTTTCTACTGCTCTGGATTTGTCCCACGTGTTATTACCATTGGCCAGTCATAAACATTTCCGAAGCGCGTCTTATCGTCTATTAAGTTTCAAGATTTCGCACAAAATGTATATAAAAAGCATTTAATGCAGCTGGAACCACCAAGTTTCGTCTCTTGGTATCTCCATTCTGCCATCAACTTAAAACCACTTGAATGTGTGTAATTTTACAATCGCTATTAAGGTTTTAAAAAAATCTGCAATTGTGCAATATTTTGATATGTACCGGGCCGAGTCGCCCTTGAAAAAGAGCTTATCTCAATGTGCTTTACTCGAGAAAGAAACTTATGATTCTGTTTGAGCGAGTTGAAATGTAAGTCCCAAGTATGCAGATTAATATTCTTGGTTCTTTTGGTAAAGTCACGTAGATAGAAAATAAATGAAATCAAATTAATAAATAGAAAATAAAAGCAAAAAACCCACCGCCTGATGAAGACCGCTTGTTTTGCGATCGAAACGTGGGTTTTTTGCTTTTATATAAAATTTATTATTTAAAATTTATTTTTTTCTTTTTTCTATCTACGTGACTTTACCGAAAGAACCAAGAATATGAATTCCTGCAGTCACGAAAGTTTTAAGTCAATTTATGCAGATTAAGCTTAGTGTTTGAGGAAATGGCCATTGTTTTAAAGTTTAAACCAGGATCCTACCCTGAGCATTCCCCTCGTGCCACTGGTGGCCCAGTCTCTAATGTCATGTACTTCTTGGGCAATTTTAGTAATGAAGATGTATTTATATGGCTCAAAGGAGTGAATTGCTTGGTAACACACTCAATTTCAAATGGTTATATAATTCACCATTAGCCAAATAAGGAAATTGGAAACCTCTCGTCACGTTACCTCAGGTGGTACCAGCTCATGAAACATTTGATCTAGGCTCGTGAACACAAGGCAGATCTGAAACACGGTAGAACCAATACCTCGGCCGAGGCTGATCTTTGTTTTAATGCGGTGGGCTCACACGAAATGTATTTCTCTAAGACGAAGGTACTTTTCAAACCCACTGGCTATCAACAAAGATTCGTTCATGAAGCCATCCATATATAGACACAGACACAATTTCAACCGAGAAGATTGGTACAAACTGAGCATTCATTGGAAGGACGTTATTAACCAGTTTAAGTCATAACTGGCTGTGAAATTGTTTGTTATTTTCGGCACTGATTTTTTACATTACCAGATTAAATTTCTCAAACTAACACAGCCACCTCGCATGCCATCCTCGAGGTTGCTGCTCGGTGATCTCCCATTAACATGCTAATCTCTCACATTAACATAGCCACCTCGGCGCACTCACCGTTGAGGATGCTCGGCGATCTACCATTAAAGTGGGACTACGCCCATTTCAAACCTTTATAAACTTGCCTTTAGAAGCTAACCCGCTTTTCCTGATGCGATCGAAACGTCATAGCTTTTGGTTATTTTCTGTTTTCTTTGAACCTATCTTTACCAAAAGACCCAAAGAATATGAATTCCTGCAGTCACAAAAGCTTTAAGTCAAGATTTAACTTGCCACATTCCACATCGTAAAAGGATACGTGTAGTGACACTGCGGCGACTGCTGTCCAGCAGCGGCAGCTGCGGTGGACATACCGTCGAGCATATACACGGGTGTGCCGGAAAGGCGGAGGAACTGGGGCAAGGGTCACGGAAGACCTCATCGGGAAGCCCCTGAAACCCGCTAGTGGGTTCGAGAAGGGAGGCTCGGCCAGGGCGGAGCCAGGCCGCGCTGACTAGAATAAAAGCAGCGGAGCGAGAGCTCCGGGCTGCCGGTTCGGAGAGTGGAATAGTCTCGTCGTCGCTGTCGTCTTCGCTGCCTTCGTCGCTGCCACCTTCACGCGATAATTGCGCGGCTGGACAGTGGTTGACTGTCTCGGTCGAAGCCGTCGGTGCAACGCGATTAGGGTTGTGTCTAGGCTGGGCTGTACAGCAGTGTGAGCAAGAGAGGAGGCGAGCCTGTGTGAACGGCCGGAAAGGTGTTACAATAAAAGGTGCCTCCTGAAACTACCTCATCTCCGACTTGTGCTACACTACACATGTTTATTATTATTCCATTTATACCAGTAAACACATTGCTAGACAATATCAAGTATAATTTGTATTCATTTGCCAAACCATTTTTACTCAAGGACTCAGACCATTGTCTCATTGACCTTTCATTCACTTTCCCTCCACAAATTCACATACCAGATTCAAAACAATGTAGATAAAGTTTAATATCAATGCTCAACACAAACGTAATATGAACACAGCAACAGCTACTTAAAATCACGGTTTGGCTTCTTAATACCACCTCTTAAGACCCAACCTGTCCAAAACATAACACTGACTTTTTAATCAGTATTGTAACCTCAGCATGAATCCCACCACTGCCCCAGTTTTCAGAGAACTTAAAGAGCTTTGTAGTTTGACAATAAAAACCTGAGCCTTACTACTTGCAGAATGGCAGGTAAGGGTTGCCACCTCATACAAAAAACGAGGACAAATGAAGCATCACAACAGTGGAGGGGAGAACCACATCTAAATGGATTGTCTTGAATGGTGGGGTACAAGCAAGCAACTGACAAACTGGGAATTTTCACACCCGAGGAAGATATGTTTCCCAAGACAGCCACCTAAAAAAGATCTGAGGAAACCAGGACAGGTGGAAATTCTACACGTGAGTCAAGCTGAATGGAGTTTGGGGTTAGGGGTTGATCTAATCGGATCCATAGTCTCGTTAGTCCTGCCTGGGGCAGACGTCACATCCAGTTCAGCCGTGGGTTTTCTTCTTTACCGTCTGCAACAATATCAGCAAGGTTAGCAGTATGACCAGGTAAGATTCTACTGGGATGGCCATTGTATTTTAAAAGGGAAACCTGGGTTTAAATAAGTCCAGCAAAAACAGCAAATTCCAAAACATGTACACAAAACAACGATTTAATATATTTCTCACTACAAATAAAAAAAACATTTAAAAAACTAAGGGCCTATTATCAAATTACCCAGAATGCATCTGATCTCTGAATCTAAGCAGGTTTGAGCCTGGATAGTGCTTGGAAAGGTGACCATCATGTACAGACAGGTCAGTGCTTGTGGGCAATATGGTGTGCAGTGTAGAAAAATCTATTGTTGTCATGTACTTGTACGCTACAGCAACTACATTCCTGCCTTCAACCTGCACTGGAGCGACATATGGTAAAACAAACCTACAACCCGCATGACGAGGCAAGGCTCTCATTTAGCAGTGGATTGACAGGCAGTGCATGTCAGCTTAGCCTCAATACATTTCCGGGAAGGTGTGGGGTCCAGGCATGAGGTTATTTCTGCAAGATAAATTCGCTTTGTTTCAAGGAGTGGGCCCAGGCCTCACCTTCCACACGGCAGCAATGTGCTCCTCTGTGATGGTGGAGCTCTTCGCCTCCACGGCCGCCGCATGCGCCTCCTGGGCCAGCGACTTGAGCATCAACATGCAGTCCAGGGCCATCTGTGGGGCGGGCAGCACAACAGCCATCTTCCTGTGAGGACTCTCCACAGTGCAGCACTCTGCTACCACTGTCTAGGATTCATGAGTCTATGAGGAATATGCAGAACATAACATACATCAATTCCAGGACATTTTTACGGCAAATATTTACCAATACTTTTGTATTATTACAGACAAATATCATGGGCTTGGCGGAGCCAGTGGGGGGTGGGGTGGCACGTGCCCCCCCCCCCCCCTCAATGATACGATCGAAATCCCTCATTTCGATCGGATCATTGGGGTTTATTGGTAATAAATCGGTATTTTGCGACCCCCACTGCCACTGTGTAGCATATTATTATGTGCCAGAGACTCTATGAGATGACAGGACAATAGTCTGAGTCCATAATTGGCAATAAATAACGGCAAAGCAGTTACAAGTGACTCAGAATTGTGCGCAGTTGCGTATACAGTACACGACTTCCCTGAAGGTGTTGCCTACCTTCGGCGAGCGCGATGCCAATCACACAACGCGGTTCGAATTCGACCCTCGATCGATGGCTGCGCCATCGCCGCACACGCGTCGAATAAAAAGCAAGGGACAAGTCCTTACTTACTATCATTTTTCATTGCTGGAGGGGTTGCCCCCACACCTGAAAATCCTGGCTCCGCCATCCTGCGTACGTTCTAGGCTGTCAGGGCTATGTGGTGGGAAGCAGAAGCCGGTGCAGCAAAGCTAATTGTGGAAGTTTTATTTTATGGTCCCCGCCTTCAGCAACCCGCAAGAGCAGCGTGAGGTATTGTTAAACAAACCTCCACGCACAGCATGGGAGGCCCTCATCCAGCAGTGGCTCGACAAAAGGGCTGTACAGTACCTATAACCAGTATCCCTACGGCGCCCTGTCACTTGCGTCCCTTACTGCCAACGTTCCTACAGCAAGGGTGAGAAGAATGTCCCGAGGATCGAATCGGAAAATATTCCTCCCTCTGGTACCTAATTAGCGCGGATAAGAGATGCTGGCAGGAACGGATGTCGTGTCGAAGTAATTTCCAACCCTGAGGCAGTGGTGACAATTGCACATTCTTATGGCGCAGGCGAGTCGATCCATTGCACAACCACTGTAGATCTTCCCCATAAAGTGGAACTTAATTATATCGACCCCGGAAAGATGATGGGCCGAGTCAACCACCAACCAGGATTTAACCTTCCGATTGAGAGGCGCTCACCCGACCGCTGGGCCACCCGTATACAGTGAAGTCGCGGAGCTTATCCGGCCGGCGGGCTGTAGGCGACCGACCCCTGCTCCGGAGCTTCCTCCACCGGCCCTCGCTCACCATTAACTCGGCGCCCTTGGCGAGCTTGAGATGCGGCTTCCTGCGCTTCTGCACGGTCCTGCAGGCCGAGGCGAGGCCCTTCATCCCAACCGCGCTGCCTCTTTCCCTTCGCGCCTCCTCAACCAGGCCACGGACGGTGGCCGCTCAGCCTATCCCCCCCCCTCTCTCTCTCGCACAGCGCAACACACAGGGAGACACAGGGAGACACGGGGAGGACGGGTGGACCACTGTGCGAGCCACTGAGGACTCGACCGACTTCGTGTTTCTTTCGCGCCCAATGGCCCCGCCGAGTTCAAAAACAGTGGGAGGAGCCCCGCGTCGCCGCCCGAAGCTCCTCCCCCTCCCCAGTTACCGCAGCTCCTCCTCCTCTCTAATTTATTCAGCTCCTCCCCTCTAATTTATTCAGCTCCTCCTCTCTAATTTATTCTGCTCCGCCTCCCTATTATTTATTCATAGACTTTCTCCTCACCATCCGCGCGGTTGTGCAGAGTATATGCTTCTTAAAAACTGTAATATCAAGAAATAATTCGTCTCCTCCCTTCGCGTAACTGTGTATTAATTGTGATTGTAAATCATTGCAACTTAAGTGAAATGTCCTCGAAAGTGGAAGTACGTCATTTAAACTCATATGACGAAACGCGAAGCCTGCACATGTCCCATGCCTCGCTGTTGGTTGTCACGTTTCAGAAGAGACAGAGGAGCACATTGGTTGAAACACAGACGCAAGCTGAGGACAATTCAAACTGAGCAGCAGCGCAGAGGAAGCTTGGGCAGGTCGCGCCGTGTGGCCATGAGGCGGGTCATGGAATGTGCGATGATCAATGCAATAATAATAATAATTATGATTTGACAGTCGATGGACGATGGAGCGATGACATCGGTTCACCTGCAATCACTGGCTTCGTCCAGTCGTGGATTTATCATGGCAGGTGGTGATGGCGACGATGAACCCGAGTGCAAATCTAACGTGACGTGAGCCACGGCTCCTCTCTGCGTTCCCCATTCACTTATTACTGACGATGTCTGCTGAATTAACCAAGGGAAACTTAATGCATATTTAGAGAGAATGGCCACAATCGGTCACTTAAATAATCGCAATATCCCAGCTCTAAGGTCCCACCAGTGACGAATCCGATGGTTTGTAAATTCATCCATTAGAATTCTCGAATAATCGGATAAACTCAGCTCGAGACCTTTCCCTCAGCTATGTTCGCGTTTGCCGATAAAGTCGAGCGATCGAATCGACAATCGTCAGATTAATCTGCTACGCTCATCATGATCATCAGGTAAGTGTGTCGAAACTTGATCAAGTAAATCAATCTAGTAATTGGTGGAGTAATCGTTTACAGTACTTGAATAATTGGATAACCCAGCTGATATAACGATGTCCCGGCGTTACCCGATTAGTTGTGAATAATCGTTGATAATCGACCACTCCCCCTCGCCCCCACAAGGATGTTCGCGTTATCTGTGGCGATGTTCGTCGGGGTCGTGAGGGGTCGTGAGTGACGCCGGGATGAGGAGGAGGAGAGGACTGGCGCTCCTCCTACACGCGGGGTCGTGAGGGGTCGTGAGTGACGCCTGGAGGAGGAGGAGAGGACTGGCGCTCCTCCTACACGCGGGGTCGTGAAGGGTCGTGAGTGACACCAGGAGGAGGAGGGGACTGGCGCTCCTCCTACACGCGGGGTCGTGAGTGACGCCAGGAGGAGGAGGGGACTGGCGCTCCTACACGCGGGGTCGTGAGTGACGCCTGGAGGAGGGGACTGGCGCTCCTCCTACACGCGGGGTCGTGAGGGGTCGTGAGTGACGCCAGGAGGAGGGGACTGACGCTCCTACACGCGGGGTCGAGGGGGGGGATACAGAGAGCGCGGCCACCATGTCGTCCGTGGCGGAGATGTACGATGTCACTTGGGAAGGTGAGCTCGCCCGGCCACACGACGCCTTCGGGCACCCCGGGATCACCTATGGGAACACCCGCGGGGGTCCTCGTACGTGTGGGGGATCTTAAAGTAAGAGGCGGGAGGAATCTCCCCCCCTCCAACCCCGCTTGCCAAGAGACGTGAAACCCCGGGAAGCACGGAGCCATGAGCAGACGCGGGGCGGCCGGGCAGGATAGGGCCTGGTCTGGACACTGGGGTCCCGGATCCCCGAGTAAAGGAACCTGTGACTTTTTGATTGAGATATTGCGGACGTAGGGGAATCGGCTGGTAACCGCGAGGCCCTGCCAATAGCCCAGACTCACGGTGAGGCACGACGAGGCTACACAAGGGTAGGGCCTAGCCTGGGCACAAGGGATCCAGAGCCCAATTAGGGGCCTCATGGACCCTGCCCTTGCAGCTACCCACCAGCCACCCTGGAAGCCTCGCGGTGGTCGAAGATCCGGGGCTTGGCCTCACTCTCCCGAGCCGCGGGGAGACGAGGCCGCTTCGGGCCCGGAGCTGCGGGATCCCAGAGTCGGTCTCCCGGCTTCCCGGTATGGTGTGCTCCACGCAGGGGCCTCGCTACTATGACCACATTGAGTGGGCCCCGATGGTCCCTGTGGGTCCCAGATCTTCGGCTGAGGTTAAGGTGACTGGGTCGCGAGGTCATGAGCAGCGGCCAGGGCGCAACCCGAGTGGCGTGACTGAGGGGTAGGCCCCAATTGGACTCGAGTTGGGGAAGGATCTGCGCATTGGACACAAGCAGGGATGCTTGTAATAAAACAGGGGTCTACAAATCTGGTCACACAGTAGAGAGCAGCATTTTCTCACCCGCTCTGACACTAAGAGTAATGTTAGTCGCATCAGAGTCAAACCGATCATTTTTAATTCCCAGATCTGGAATACATCCAAACTAAGTGCGGGACCAAATTGAAAGCAATGAGTTCTCAATGTGGCCATCCACTCGCTATATTTAAGAACCAATGTTAACCACGGGTGCATGTCGTGATTCGAACCCACGGTATCATTATTGCCGGCTCAATGCTCAGATCTCTGAGCCACCCGGCCAACCCTAGAGTGCGCTTTCTAGAGCGCACAGTTTTAGGGTGCCGGGTGCCATCGTCCGGGATTGCTGTATGCTCCACTCTTGACCGAATCATCGTCTCTTTGCAGAGATGAGGGACAAGCTTCGGAAATGGAGGGAAGAGAACTGCCGAAACAGTGAGCAGATCCTGGAGGTCGGAGAGGAGCTCATTAATGAACATGCTTCCCGGCTTGGCGATGACAGTGAGGGCACCACCTGAACCTGCCATTACCATCAGTCTGACGACTCCTAACCATTGATATCACTACTACTACCACATTCTATTACTACTACCAATATAGCACTACTGCAATGCTAGCATGACCACCTTCTTAGCATCATTAAACTTGTTCTGTCCACTGCTTGATGAAGGCCTTCCCAAACCGTCAACATCGCATGGTCCTGCGAGGTAACAATCCATCTAGCACGTGCACATGAGCAGATTCCATCTTTGCGGTTGATATCATTTCGGGCGTATTCCTTCATTTTAACTACTACTAACCACCAGGATGCCACTAGCATAGCACTATCACCAGTAGAGCAATAGCACCAGAATACCACGACTACCAGTATACCACAATTACCAGTATACCACAATTACCAGTATACCACAACCATCAGTAGAGTACGACTGCCAGCATAGCACTACTACCAATAGAGTACTACCACCAGAATACCATGACCACCAGTAGAGTATGACCAGCAACATACATAACAATGCATGTCGGTTGGCAAGAAAGTCACGACGGATGCATCCTCCTAAGCAATGCTGCGGTAATTAACGTGTGTCCTGCGCCTCGTGTGAACCCGCAGTTTGGATCGTTTACGAGCAGGTGTGCATTGCAGCGCTGGACTGCTCACGCCTCGACCTCGCAGTCGTAAGTACCGCCCGGCTTGTTGCACGCACAGTCACTGCTCACGCCATGCGTGAAGCCAGACGCGATAGCTGACTGCGACCTGGTTCACGATTGTGTGCCTATCCTACTGTAGACCACTGTATGCTGTGCTATGTTGTGCATCTGTGCGACTATAGACTACTGTGTGTGATGCTGTGTTGTGCATCTGTGCTGATGTAGACCACTGTGTGCTATGCTGTGTTACAGCACTGCCTGAGACAGCTGCGGAGGCAGTTTCCTGGCAGCCACCGTGTGAGGAGGCTTGAGGGCATGAAGTATGAGTTTCAGGAGAAGTAAGTGTCGCTCTCTCCGTGAGTCTGCTCTGATCATCATATTCAGCCATGATCATTGCACTGCTGCGTGAATATCTCCCCAAGCCACCACCATCTATCATGGACCTGTGATGCAACAGTACATTTAGTACCTGCACCCGAGTCAATTTCATTGCTTAATTTCCATGGTGGACGCACCCACGGGCCGAGCTCCCTTCTTTGGCTACCACCCCAGTGTCTGACAAGACCACCAGCTATCGTCCCTTCAATTGACAAGTCCTGCCCAAGCCCACGTACGAATTGTAAACAGTCAATACGACGCCTTTCACTTTAAAATCTCCTCTAATGCATTTGCACCTTTTCCTGTTGCAGTGTAATTTCAAGAATGCAGCTCTCCATGCTTCTTTATGCACTTTTGCATCTTTTGTTTAATTTTCTTTGGCAATGCCCGTGACGGATTGCTGTGCACCAAGTGTAGGTGTTGTGGCATGCGCTACTGCTGCTATTGCAAGGATGCTCTGTGATAATCCGTGTTTGTTTCGTAAGGTATGATGAGGCCAACAAACTCTACGACGAGATCATCCAGGAAGACGACGCTAACACGGTGAGTGAGTACGTGCGCGCGTGAGTGCATCCAGATGGACAGACGTGCAATTCGCAGGGTGCCGTGAGCTGTGCACCTCGGCACAGAACCTGCTGCTGCTTTGGCGGTGCTGGGTACGGTCGCCGCAATATCGCGAAACTGCAGAACCTCGTATGAAAAACATGTCCGCAATTTGGTGGTGAGAACTAAACCTCAATGGTGGTGAGGACCAGGCCTGGGTGGCGGTGAGTATTGACCCAGTTGTTTTTGCGCTGCTGATCTGTGCGTGGTGAGTGACGTGGGGACTCGTGATTCTTGCGCTGCAGGCAGCGAGAAAACGCAAGATCGCAATCCTCAAGGCCCAGGGAAAGGTGGCTGAGGCCGTCAAAGAGCTCAACGAGTACCTCAAGCTGTGAGTATACCGGGCAAGGGGGGTGGGGGACACTGGGGGGCAGGGTAGGGCAAGAGGCCCTCGTGTTATTTGCCACGGTGGTGCACGCAACATCTACCTCCCACCAGTCACAGATACGCTTGGGCACTACCACAACTGATGTGACTTCACAGCCACCAGTTCAAAAGCATTGTAATGATGCACACATGTCACATCATTGAAGATCACATTCTGTGGGCATGCACAGCCCTTTTGTTAGTCCACTGCGGGATGAGTGCCTCTGGGTGCTGTGTGGGTGATTAGGGTTTGACCATTCTGCTCCACACTGGTGAGTGCGGGTTGGTACAGGTGGGGATTGTAGATGCGTGAGCATAGAAGTGCAGCCTCCCACAAAAGCCGTTGTAAATGGTGATCGCTCATCAGCTTCCTGCACCTCTGATTAGCATGGTTGGCTAAGTACGGTGCGAAAGAAGTTCAACATACATACATCTGATAAGATTGGAGGCATTCCAAGTGATTTGGTCAAAGGTGTTTATGTACAGTTCTACAAAATAAGTCTCGTGCAATCAGTTGATAGTTTGACATGTACAAAAAATTGGATGCACAATCGCCACCATCCTGGCGTGGATGAAAACATGAGTTTGTCTGAGCACGTCCGACACCACAGTATTAAACGACCATTTCTCCTGTAACAAAGGTGGACAGATGACGTCTATATGAATTGCAGTCCTAATTGGTCCACATACTCTGCTCAAGTAAACATGCCGCTTTACGATTATATTAATGATTACGCACCTCGTTAAGGTGCCTGAAATATATCAGAAACCATGCGAGTGCCCACATGAGTCTGTGCCGCCTGCGATCCGTACTCTCGCCGGCCTTCGTAGATTCGTCGCTGACCAGGAGGCGTGGCAGGAGCTGGCAGACCTCTACGTGTCCGAGCTTGAGTGAGTCCCTTCACACACTCACCACCTGTAGGCCACTTGCAATGTGCTTGTATGTTGTAAGTTGAGACCACTGGAGCAGTTGTGGAGTTGAGACATTAAGGAGCACAGGTGGTGCATCTGCCAGTCATGTTGAGACAGTTAACCTGTAACACCGAGGTCTGCCCCATGGCCCCCTGGCAGCAAGTCTTTGACACTTTGTGGCCTTCAAGTGCACCGAGCCTGCAGAAGCGTCATGGTGATGCAACCTCCACTTAGTGGCAAATGGTGGCTGTTGTTAGCGTGGTTGTGTAGTAATTAAGTTCGATGTCCACTCGACCAACAATTGCGAATATTTCAATCGGTTCTGGGCCTCCTTTAGGTCAACTCGGCCATAAATGAATACCTGTTGCGGTGTGTAAACATCAGCACTAGAGAGGTGAAGGCAAACGGACGTGGTTGTTGGCCACCCTCCCCCTTCATGTGCCGTCCCGACCTATATAGGTGCTCGCTAAAAGCACTCACCCAAACAGTCCGTGTAGGCTACATGGACGATCTTTGTCTTTGGTGCAGGTACAGCAAGGCGGCCTTCTGCCTGGAGGAGCTCATCCTTTTCAACCCCCACAATCACCTGTTCTGCCAGAAATATGCAGAGGTTGGTGCCCGCAGGCCTGCCCCCATGGCCCACAAAATCCACTTGCTCACTGGCGGTTCGGTACCTTCTTATTGTTACTGCTCCCACGAACTTCACTTCTTGATTCCTCCTCCCATGTTGAGGACTTGGTCTACCGGACTGTTTCGTGTCATCCTGCACAGTGTTCAACCCCAGCACTGCAGATCACGGGACTTTTTGCTTCTGCTTCTTCCCTCGCACTGCTCCCCTTCGGAATTCTCTCCCATTGTTTCTCTTCCCAGGTTCTTATAACCTTGGTCAATTCTATAAACGTGTCAACTTTTATCAATTACAACTTTGATTGTGCTAATGACAATTTCCATGTGTTTACCAATTACGGTAAGTACTTTGCGGTGCAATTTGCTATTATTAAAATTGGCAACAATTGGGTTGCAATGTGTGTGCACGCGCAATGGCCTTCTCTTCTTCTAATGACATCATGGGATCTGTAATGCCCACCGTGAAGTGGACGGCGGGTAGAATTTTATGGTTAAAACGCCCGCAGTATTGCCCGGGGTGTGCCTGCCAGATTTAAACCACAAACCTCTGCAGCAAATGATGAATGCGCCACCAATGGGCCGTGTCGCCGAGGCGGTGATCGGCGCAGCCATTGGCTGCTCACCTAACCCTGCTGCTTCTGCATGCGCTGCTTGTAGGTGAAGTACACACAGGGAGGTCTGGACAACATGGAGGTGGCCAGGAAGTACTTCGCTCAGGCACTCAAGCTCAACAACATCAACATGCGCGCCCTGTTTGGCCTCTACATGGTGAGGGCAGCACTGGGAGATGCCGGGCAGCCATGCCCACTCAGCATCTGCCATATATATGGCCGCTGTGTGCCGTGTGTGTGGTGTGACACGTGTGGTCAGTTGTAGTGACAGATGTGAGCTACGCAGTGAGTTATGTTACAAGTGAGGAGTGCACTGAGACTTGGTGAGGTGAGAGCTTTGAGTTGAGATCACGTGAGCTGTGTGCTGATACACGGTAACATGTGAGATGAGATGTATGCTGTTTAGTAAGCTGTGTGGCAATCTGAGCAGCGCTCTTGTTTGGTGAGGTGAAATGTGAGCTGTACGTCTACCTGTGTGGTGAGATATGAAAGCTCTATGGTTTGGCGAGCTGTTAACTATATGGTGAGATGTGTGATGTGCAGTGTGCCGTCTTAAGCTGTGTGGCTAGTAGTGAGCTGTTTGAAACGGTGTTCAACGAACTTCATGGTTAGCTGTCAGCCTTGTGGTGCAATGTGCGCCGTGTGGCGAGCTGTGACCCAGGGCGAGGGGACATTGTCTGACCCCGCGTATTTTCCGCCACTCTCCCCAGTCCTCCGTGCATGTCGCTTCCAACCCCAAGACGAACACCAAGAACAAGAAGGACAACCTCAAGTATGCGTCGTGGGCCGCCTCGCAAATCTCCAGGGCCTACCAGGTGACACTCTCCACAGCGCTGGGCTCAGATCAAGCAGAGATCGGCATAGTACAGCATGGTCCATTTGTAGATGCCCCACTACTTTCTAATGACCCTGTGTCTTGTCAGTGGATGATTAAATATTGTGAAAGCAATGACTCCCATATCTTAAACAGGAACAAAGAATGAAGGCGGAAGCTTTTATCAGGAGAGAGTTAGGCGGTGGAATGAGTGGTGCTTTTGGGATTGGTGGGAGATATAGAGGCTTTGCAATCAAATCATCTTCCTCATTTATCCCTATTTCCTTGAGTATATTTACCCTGTAAATTCAAATTACTGGAGGAAATGTCATGTGGATACATTTCTTTGAGGTGTGTAAATTATATACCAATTACAATTGTGATAGATCATGAATTACATTTAATTTAGATACCGCCATCTCCATTTCAGAACCTAGTTTAATTTGCATGGGTTTTTTTGTGCTGTGATTTGTAACCTGGCTGAGACATTCAACTCATACTCGAGAACCCAATTTAATCAGAGGCAGTGGTTAAAACCTGGATTTAAACGCAGGATTTCAGCGGTACTGGCTTTGTGCTCTGACTTCTGAGTCGCACGGCCTACTCCAGTTTGATGGCTGTGGTGTCGTCTTTGGTGCTGTGTCGTCACACATTTGTGCTGTTTTGCCGCACGCAGCTTGTGGGTTCGGCACAGAAGGACGGCAAGGGCTCCGTCAAGATGGTGGAGGACATGCTGCAGTCACTGCAGATCACACAGAGCTAGACCACCCTGACCACACCGCCACTGCTGCCATGCGCAGAGCTCTACACGTACGCACACCCACCTGTGCTCACACCTGCCTGTGGTCACACCTGTACACACACCTCGGCACACACCGGCTTTTGCACCCGCACATCTGTACACACGCACTGTCCCTGCATGCGCAGACCTGTACTTGCATGCAAGTCCTGTTTGCCAGCACGCATTAAGACCGGTGCAGCGCATGAGAGGGTGGTGTAGCGAGCAGCACATCGAGCTATATATGTCTCCCCAGTGCTGATGTTTAACTCCACACCTATTACTCATTTAAGGCTGAGTCAACCTAGTGGAAGCCCAGGACCAGTAACAGACATCATTCACGAATGTTAACCATGACTGGTGCACCAACAACAAATGGCATTCTCTGGCGATATCACCACAGTGCATGTACCAGGCTCGGTGCACTATAAGGCCAGATGAAGTGTCGAAGGACCACTGGCAGAAGGCCACAGGGTAGACCCAGGTGTTATGGGTTAACTGAGATGACTGGTAGTTCCACCTCGTGTTCTCCCTGCTGCGCCCACTGTGGGCACAGTTGGCTACACACACACATCTGTATATACATTGCCTCTATGTGCACAGACCTCGATACACACATCCCATGTCATCCATACACACCCATATCACACAACTCGTGTGGCACGCACATGCCCATGTCAAACCTCGCGACGCGCCCGTGCCATGTTGCGGAGTGGAGCCCCCTCCCGTAATGAAGACGCCTGGGCTACCGCCCCACCCCTGGTACGGAGCGGTCGCCTCCAACCCCACAGATAATGGGGAAGGGGACCCAGGCAGCAGAAACTTCAAACGTCCAGGACTTTTTACAGGCTTGTGAGACAAGCATAAAAATTCGGAATGTGTGGGAAGAATGATGGCGGTGATGCGGCGATGGCCGTAGCGTTACCGGGTCCACTCACACCACCCCAGCCCTAACGGCGCCGCTGACGCCATGGGACCAGCAGCAGCACCAGCGAGAGGGAGCAAACGCCGGGACCGGAAGAAGTGCCGTGAATAGTGTCGACTTCAGCTCCAATACCAGGAGCGGTGGTGGCAGGCGGCGGCGCTGACCCTCAGTGGAGAGCGAGTATTTATTGTTGGGGGGAGCGCAGGGCTCTTGTTTAGTATGTGTTTGACTTCTATTCTTATTAAAGAGAGGACTTCACACAACCACATCCTGCCGGGTGTAGAGTTGCAGCTGTAACTTTTAGTGTCATGTTTATTGTTGCTGTGAAGCACTCATGGAGGGTTTATGATTTCCCATCCCATCCATGTGATCCATCCCCACGCCAATCGCCCAGCTCGTTACGATGCTGCACTAGTGGCTGCTTGGTCGTTGGAGCGTGGCAGGGTGCTGGGTTTAGAGTTGGCTTTCTGGATTGATGTTGGATGAGCTGGGATGAGTATAGAGTTTAGGTGCTGCGCTGGGTATAGTTTTGGTGTTGATCCCATTGCATCTGGTAATAATTTGGGTGTTCTGGATATTGGTCTAGAAATAGTGGCTTTAGTTTGAGTGTTGGCTGGGTGATGGTCTTGAGGTAGAGCGTATAGTGTGGGCGATAATGAGCAGTAACAGCATGAGTGGCATGGGCCTTGATGTAAGGAATAAAATCAGGACCCCTGTCCAGTTCCCACCACCCCTGTTCATTGCCATTTGTCTGAGCCCTTCAACCTGTGGGGCCCGGGGCAGTTGCACCACCTGCACTCCATAGCTACACCAATGGTGCTGGGTGTAGGTCGAAGTTGGGGTGTTGTGTCTGGATGGGTGTTTGACTTTGTCTGGGAGTTCTTTGGCAGTGGGTTTAGTTTGGGGGGTTGGTTCGCATTTCATCCTTATGGCAGTACCCCGGGGTACCAAATAATACAAAATGGCCGAGGCAATTAAATATTTTATTTCTGGGGCACTTTTTTCCAGGGGTGTACTTAACTCCGCGACTTGGGTACCAATCCGAAATCAGTGCTACTCCGCGATGTCGAAACGCAGCGAGGACTGAACGCTCGTATGCACTAACGTGCATCGTGTGCAGCTCATCAAGATGAGTATTGCTGCATCGCCGACCATCAACAGACTAAAAATAAGTGCATCACGGACATGCGAGAGCCATAAGGTTAATTTGAGGTATTGGGCATTGTGCTGTTCAGTTTGGGAATCTTGGGTGGTGGGTTGAGATTGGGTGTAGTTATAAAGTCGGATGTTGGGCTTAGTATGTTTAGTTGGGTGTTCTCTTTTACTGCTGAACGTGGGTATGGTGTTTGGGGTGTACATTGGGTGTAGGGCAGGTGTTGCGCTTGGCTGAGGTTATTGTTGACCCTAACCTGAGACCCTTAACACAGTTGTGACCCCAGTCGTGACCTTTAACTGCCACCCGTCGCGTTCGTGGCTGTGCAATGCTGTGGAGTTTAAGTTGACCTTAAAGACATAAGGCAGCTGCGTTTATTGATCTGATGGCTGTGCTTATTCACAACCGCACCCAACACGAGAATCGTGTTCCACGGCGTCGGCTCCCCCCGTTCGCGGCTGTATGATCCATTCTCCACTGGCACACCTGAGCCATACCATCGCGGGGCCCTCTCGGTATGGGTGGTTTTCCACAAAGCTGAGCTGGAACCATGCAGTAAAACTTTGGCCTCATTTCAGACATCTGGCTCGGGGTCAAGCGGAGTCACGGATGGATTTAATCATTCTCGACGTATGGGTTGGGCAGTAAGCAACACGTTCATTGTGTGATGTCAGCGGCACGGATCTGGTTCTCCAGTGGAAAAAATGCTGGCTCGGCACAGACCCGACGTAATTTGGTTGTACAGTGGAGAAGCGTGCAGATGTGAGGCCAAGCTGATGGGCTGTGCGACCGGTTTTACACCACAACCTGGGAAATGCATTCCCCTGGTGTACCTGCCAAGCCAGTTTCTATCTCACCCAGACCCTCCTGTTTCCCCTTGCTCCTCTGACCAATGGTCTTCACATCTATGTGTCCCCCATCTCCTACTGTGTCTCCGACTCATGGCCCCTGGCCACCTATCTCCCTACGTTCTCGTCTCTTCCCACGTTCCCCCGTCTCATCCAATCCCCCGAAACAATTTACCCCCGTGTCCCTCTCATCAAAGGCCCCGCGCCCCCTATGAGTGGCGCGCCTGTGCTTCAGCAGAATGTCGCTGTGTGCACACACATGATTTTAACGTCGATATTTTTCAAAGAAATAAAATCAAAGAAGGTGAGAGCTGTGGGCGCCTCGCTCTGCCACTCGGGGGAGCCACCAAGAGTGGTTCTGTGGAGGTGCAGAAATATCCATTGTATTGTACTCGTTTACAATATGCTACCAGCCCACACTGACGAGCACGGTGACTGGTGACCTGCACGGCGGAGAGAGGCCCTCATCCAGCAGTGGATTGACGAGGGCTGGACACATGCATCAGCACCTATCTGCCCATTGCAGCCAAGAACCCGCGAGACACGGGGTCACTTGACTGCCAGAGCCCAGCAGCTGTCCATGGTTCTGAAGATCAATTTTAATAGCAATGCCCTTTATCCAGCAAAGCCTAACCAAGTCTCAATGTTCTTAATATGAGGGTCCTACATTGAGATCTTTGGCTATTTCCATAGATGTTTGGATGTGGGAGGAAATCTATGCGCCCGGAGGAAACCCACGTATTCGAGGTGACATTAAACGATCTGCACATGGATTCACGAATCTATTATTGTACTGCCATCGCCTGGCCATGTCCAGTCCCTGGAGCTGTCCATGGTTCTGAATGTGTTGCTGTCCGTGGTGCTGGGATTAGTATCACTATCGATCATGGATATTGATCACCAAGTGAAACTGATTTCTGACTGATAACTAATGCATTCAGGTATATATCAAGCAATTATCACTAATCTCCAATTAATGCCGATTTCCAATCAGATCTCCATTGCATGTATACAGTCATAACTTATATGCCATCGGCAATATTAACAAGGTGCCCCTGTAGGTCACCTGCGGTGCTGCATGAGACGCTTGTTCTGAGTTGGACGCAGGGCCCTGCTCCTGTTATACTGGGCATCATGGTGGCGCTAAGCAGACACCGTGACGCCAGGAGACACAGTGGTACCCTAAAGGAGACGCTGGGCCCGAGAGGACAAGGATTATTCTTTGAGACACCCACTGCCCCATAAGGAGACGTCGTGTCCCTGAGATGGGGGTCCCGAAGGAGCCGCCGCCGTGGCCCACAGCGCCGCCTGCTGGCCGTGCTTCCGCTCTCCACGCGGCTCCAGGCTTCTCTCCGTGCGGGGTCCGGGGCCGCGGTTCGGGGCTGTGGGGCCCGAGGGAGGCGAGTGAGTGTGCGGGACCCCATGGGGGACCGTGGGCTGGATAGGAGGCACAAGCACCCCGGGGCTCTGGAGCCCTGGGTCATTGTTTTCCTAGCGGCGTCGCGGTGCCCGTGGGGCTGAGCTGTGGCGAGGGACCCGGGGCCCGACCTCTCTCCCTCTGCCCTCCCTCCTGGGGGCTCCGCACCAAGGTCCCAAATGTGGGGCGCGGGCGGTAGTAGGAGAGAGAGTCGAGGTGCTCGGGACCTCACTGCCGGGGCCCGCGGACCAGTGCGTGTAACGGTGTCTGTGCGTGTGCGTCTGTGTGCCAGTCTGCGCGTGTCAGTATGTAACCATGTGTATGTGTGTCTCTGTGACGGTGTATATGTGGTGATGCCTGTGCGTCCGTGTGCGTGCCTCAGAGTATCTGTGTCCGCGCATGTGTCAATGAGTGTCACGCACGCATTGATGGTGTTGGTGGCATGCTGCTGTGTGTGCGATGCTGTCGTTGCTATGCGTGATGTTCTCTGCATGGTATTCTGTACATATTGTGCTGTGCGTGGTGTGCTGCGTGTGTTATCTCTGCTGTGCATGGTTTGTTATGTGTACCGTGCACGGTGTGCAATGTCTGCTCTGAATGGTGTGCTATGCATGGTTGTGCTATGCATGGGTGTGCTATGTCTGCTATTAATGATATGCTATGTATGGTGTGATATTCACAGTGTGCTGTCTGCCCCGCTTGGTGTGTTATGGTGTGGTATGTGTACTCTGCATGGTATGCTATGCATGGTGTGCTATGTGTGTTATGCATGGCGTGCTGTGTGTGGTGTGCTATGTGTGTTATGCATTGCGAGCTGTGTGTGGTGTGCTATGCGTGCTATGGATTGCGTACTGTGTGGGTGCAGAGATGTTCTACGCGCACTTTGTGCTGAGTAAGCGCGGGCCCCTGGCCAAGATCTGGCTCGCCGCTCACTGGGACAAGAAGCTGACCAAGGCGCACGTGTTCGAGTGCAACCTTGAGAGCAGCATCGAGAGCATCATCTCCCCCAAGGTGCGCGTGTAGCGTCCGTGTGTAGTGTGTGTAGTGTATGTAGCATGGGTAGTGTGTGTGTACCGTGCGAGTAGCGTGTGTAGTGTGTGTAGCGTGTGTAGTGTGTGTGTAGCGTGTGTAGTGTATGCAGCATGGGTAGTGTGTGTGTACCGTGCGAGTAGCGTGTGTAGTGTGTGTGTAGCGTGTGCAGCGTGTGTAGTGTGTGTGTAGTGTGTGTAGCGTGTGTAGTGTGTGTGTAGCGTGTGTATTGTGTGTGTAGTGTGTGTAGCGTGTGTAGTGTGTGTGTAGCGTGTGTATTGTGTGTGTAGCGTGTGTAGTGTGTGTGTAGCGTGTGTATTGTGTGTGTAGTGTGTGTAGTGTGTGTCGCTGTAATGTCTCTGTTGTGCGTGTGGCGTGTGCGTAGTGTGTGTTTGGATCGGTATGTGGATGCAAGCAGGGCGTGGGCTACGGGTGAGTAGGCTTGCCACCTTTTCCACTAGAGACCAGCACGAGGTCAATATCAAAACGGTCCAGCAGTCGACACAGAAGCACTGGTGCCAGGTCTCGGTACAACTCAACACCAAATAGCCAATTCCTGGACTGCGCTACGAACCCGGCAATTCGAGTTTGATGCCCGCTCACGGTCAACACCAGTGACGATTATCTGAACCGGTCCTGGGCCTCCCCTAGGTCGATCCAGCCTTAAATGAGTACCTGGTGCGGTGTGTAAACATCGCTACTTGGGAGACAAAGGCGACCGGGTGCGTTGTTGGCCACCCACCCCCTCGTGTGCCGTACCGGCCTTCATAGGTGCTCGCTAACTGCACTTGCCCCAACAATCTCTTAAGGCTACACGGGGGATCTTTGTCTTTTGGTGGTGGTCGTGGCTGGCGTCAGGTGAAGATGGCGCTCCGTACCTCGGGGCACCTGTTACTGGGCGTCGTGAGGATCTACAGCCGCAAGGCCAAGTATCTGTTAGCCGACTGCAACGAGGCCTTCCTCAAGATCAAGATGGCCTTCAGACCAGGTGCGCTCGCCAGGGGTGGGGGCCTCATGTCCAGGCGGGGTCCGCTGCGGGTTCCTGGGATCACTGGGGTTTCATTTTGTGCATTGGGGTCCGCTCAGTTCCACTGGATGTGGTGGTGCATGCTACCGATGGTGAATGATGGTGGTGGTACGTTGGACAATGTGGTGGTGCGTGGTGGTGCGTGCCGCAGGAGTGGTCGACCTGCCGGAAGAGAACAGGGAGGCTGCCTACAACGCCATTACTCTCCCCGAGGAGTTCCACGACTTCGACCAGCCACTCCCCGACCTGGGGTACGTATGGGGTCACGGGGTCACCGGATCACGGGGCTGCGGGCCGACCACAGTGAGGTGCAGGGGGGCATTGGAAGGTGCAGGGTCCACCGTCCGCCCGGCCGCCCGCCCGCCTCCGTGCCTCCACCGAGGTTTCCTCCACCGAGGTCGAGCCCAGACTTTTTGTGTGTTTCGTGTGGCATTGTTCGTCGGTAACCGGTAAACATTTTCTTAGCTGGTTAATAATTCCAGAAGTCAGGAACCGGTAACCGGTTCCATTGTAAGTTTATCCATGAGTCTACTACATTGATAAACTTGCCCCATTGCTTCACTACCGCGCTGGAACATGGAATCAAGCAGGCGACCTGTGGATTACAAGTCTAGTGCAGTAACCACCACTCCACAATGTCAGCTTCCTTTGCGCCCCGTATCGCGTGTCCCAAGTCCCCTGTCCCGTGTCCCCCATCCCGTAGCGCGTGTCCCGTGAGGTGCATCCCGTGTCCCATTTCGTGCATTCCATGTCCCGTGTGCAGGGACTTGGACATCGCGCACCAGTTCACAATGAACCAGAGTCGGGCGGAGGAGATCACGATGCGCGAGGAGGTCGGCAACATCACCATCATCCAGGATGACGGCTTCGGTCTGTGACTCTCGTGTCCCTGCGTGTCTCCCTGTCTCCATACGCATGTTCTGTGTGTGCTCATAGCGCTTGTGCACACGAGTGTGCATGTGTACACGTGTGCATGTGTGAGGGCGGTAGTCTAGTGGTTAGCGTGCTACGCTATGAACCTGGCGACCCACGTTTTATTCCCGCTCAAAACTAACAACGTTGATGATAATCTGAACTGCTATTGGGCCTTTCCTACGTCGACTCAGCCTCAAGTGTCTTGTCTGTGTGTATTCACACACATGTAGTAGCATGAGCGTGCACAGGCAGTTAGCACGCCGTGCTATGAACCCCGTGGCCAGAGTTCAATTCCTGCTCACGGCCATAATCAGTGACAAATATCTGAACTGGTATTGGGACTTCATTTGCTTGACTCGTAAACATCTGACCTGGGGAGACAAATGCGGCCGGGTGTGGTGCTTGTCACGCCATGCCAGCCAACAGCACTTGCCCCGAGAGCCCGCATAGGTTTTACGGAGGACCTTTGTCTTTGTGCATGTGCCGTGCAGGAGACTTTGGAGTGGACGAGCGGGAGATGATGCGCGAGGGGGGTGCCGCCTTCGAGGTGGACATCCTGTCGGCGAGCGCGGACTTCCTGCTGGACCCCGAGCGGGGGACGGGGTCCCCGGGGCGGGGGGCCGAGCCCCCGGCGCGGGCGGAGGGGGCCCCCTCGTTCGAGGGCCCCCCCCGAGACGATTCGCTCGGGGGGGGCGGAGGCAGCGGGGGAATCCTGGGTGCGCCCCCCACCCGGAGCCAGATGCTTACTCCAGTCCCAGCTCTGCCCCGCTGCCCCCGTTGTCTGGAGAGACCCATAGACTTACTTGGAGACTCATAGGCTCACATAGTGACCCACAGACTCACTTTGTGACCCTCTCTGTTTGTAAACATGGCTACACCGCAGTAGCATAAAGACGCCGTGATGTTTGCCCACAGTGTGTTGATGTTGTGTGTGAACCCCTGCACTCTGACGATAACTCTCGACCCCCAAACAGCCTATAGCCCCCTTGCTGACCGCTATCACCTCACCGTTACACACAATCTCACCCCCGTCACTGGTCCCTAACCATCGGCCTAAGCGCATCCCCAACTCTGACCCTCACATAACCCCGAATGACAACCACACACACTGAGCTCTTTCTGCTGCTGGCATATATGCAGGTGGTGGTGATGATGCTGTTACTACTGCTGCTGATGGTGATGCTGTCTTTGCTGCTGTCCGTGCTGCTGCTGTCCCTGCTGCAGACGATAATCTTCTGCGTGGGGACGGGGGTGGGATTTTCGACGACCCGCCGGCTCTCCCCGATGGGGACGTGGATCTGCCCGAGGACCCCGGCCATGAGGACATCTCGAGCGACGGATCCCGTGAGACCCCAACCATGATCCCGACCCCAACGTGACCTTGACTCAACTCCAATTTGAACTCTGATTTGACCTGACGAGTAATGACCGCAACCTCCAATATGACCCTGATTGTGACCCTGGTGCTACAATAAGCCTAGCCCCAACTACTGACCTTGTGCTGCCTCCAGCTTTGACCCTTAACCCAACCCCAAGCCTGGTTTAGGTCTTACCTCCAACAGCAAATATGACCTCAGAATTAACTCTGACCCAATCTGAACTTCACCTTGACCTTGCATGTATGCAAGGTCACTAAACAGGCACGTGGATAACAGGTGTCTGTTTCGTGTCTTACCTGTGTGTTTTACCTTTGTGTGTTACCGTGTGTTCAGTTCAGTTAATTTCAAGTACCCTGTGAGCCAAGCAGCTCTTGAATCGGGTTTCATCAACAAAGACAACACCGCCACTTCTCCGACATACGCAACAAGTCAGTAAAATAAATAAATAATAAGAAATACCAGATAAGCTAAATAAAAAAATATCTAGCAAGTCATAATCGCAACAAAAATAATCTTTTTATTAAAAAAAATCAATCAAATATAGATTATCATCAAATACTACGCTGTATCTAAAAAAAAATACTAATTTAAATTTGCCATAATTATAATGCAGATACAGCCTTAAACATGATGGCATTATAGGGAAAAATAAACAAAACACAGCATCCATAAAAAACGTAGTATAAACAAAACACGCAAAAAGTGGTCGCTCACAGGCAACTCATATTTATACCGCGTCTAACTCTTCATGCATTGGCAGCTAGGCAGGAATTTACTTGAAAGTAGTGAAGTGACGGCAATGACTGCAGACCAAGTTTTGTGGCAATATGGTTCCAGAAACGTGGGGCAGCCACCGAAAGCACTCGTTCACCTGTGTGTGTTACCTGTGGTTATTGTGTGGTTGTTGTGTGTTTAGTCTTACGGAGTACGTCCAACAATCTGCTGATTGTACCCAGAATCAGGACCGTCCTGGCCGAACGGCGTTTCACCGTAGTCGGACCGATCATCGGGAACTTTCTCCCACTCCACGATCACCCACCCAGCCCCCCGGCCACCCGGCCCCCCACCCGTCCAGGCTGCCCCTTGAGGGATTTTGAGCTCTAACTCCGCGCCTCCGAGTTCTCGATCGAACATTGCGTCCAATTCCAGAAATATGTGCACATTAAAATTCGTGTGTGTTATTATTGTTAGTTATTATTGTGGTTGTTGTGTTTTAAGTTGTAGTGTTGTATATTTAGTTGTAGTGTATAGAGTGTGCTTTACTTGTGGTGGTGGTGGTTGTGAATTGAGATGGTGTGTGTGTTTAGTTGTGGTGGTCGTGGTGGCGGTTGTGGTTATGTCCAGCCGGCGGGCCCCCTGACAGTCCGGGTTCCATGGGGGACGTGGAGCCACTGCTGCCGGTCGCCGCTCAGCAAACAACGCTGGATGCGAGCGAGACGGACGCCTTCGCGCTGGAGCCCATCGACGTGACGGGTGACGGTGCTCACCCCTACAGCCTTATCCCGACACACAGCTGGCTACGCAGCCCGACACACATTCTGCCACGGAGCCCAATACACAGCCCGATGAGTCTTTAAGCCCGTTCTCCCCATGTCTCCGTGTCACCGTGTTCTTTTGTCTCCTCCCTTTGTCCTCACATCCCCCTATAACTACATCTCCGCATGTTCACGCCCCCCCCACAAACCCACGTGCTCACACCTCTGTCTCCGCGCGTCTCTCCGCGTCCCCACGGCAAGCGCGTGTGCAGTGAACGTGACGAAGGCGAAGCGCAAGAGGAAGCTGATCGTGGACAGCGTGAAGGAGCTGGACAGCAAGACAATCCGCGCGCAGCTCAGCGACTACTCGGACATCGTGACATCGCTCGACCTCGCACCGCCCACCAAGAAGCTGATGCTGTGGAAGGAGACGGGCGGTGTGGACAAGCTGTACTCGCTACCCGCACAGCCGCTCTGGAGCAGCCGCCTCCTGCGGGTGCTGTGCTGGGGCGGGGGGGGGGGGCAGAGGTCACACGGTCAGATAGAAGACCCTCCAATGGTTACGGTTAGAGATTTGGTTAGGATTAGATACGGGGTCAGGGGCTAGACACTTAAGTTTCATCTGGTTAGATAGGTTATCAGGGCTAGGATTGCAGATCGATTGTGGGTGAGCGACCATCACAACAATGAGCAGAGCTTTGGGTGGCTAAAACGCGGAAAGTTGGCGCAGTGGGGAGCACAGGTGGTGCATCTGCCAGTAATCTCAGTCAGTCAACCCATGGCACCTGGATCTGTCCTGTGACCTCCAAGCAAGCCTTGCACACTTCCCGTGGCCTCAGGGTTTGCTTAGCCTGGCACAATTTCCAAGGTGATGTCACGGCCATTTAGTGTAAAGTGAGGGAAAAAAAGTATTTGATTCCCTGCTGATTTTGTACGTTTGCCCACTGACAAAGAAATGATCAGTCTATAATTTTAATGGTAGGTTTATTTGAACAGTGAGAGACAGAATAACAACAACAAAAATCCAGAAAAACGCATGTCAAAAATGTTATAAATTGATTTGCATTTTAATGAGAGACATAAGTATTTGACCCCCTCTCAATCAGAAAGATTTCTGGCTCCCAGGTGTCTCTTATACAGGTAACGAGCTTCGATTAGGAGCACACTCTTAAAGGGAGTGGTCCTAATCCACACTTGTTACCTGTATAAAAGACACCTGTTCACAGAAGCAATCAATCAATCAATCAGATTCCAAACTCTCCACCATGGCCAAGACCAAAGAGCTCTCCAAGGATGTCAGGGACAAGATTGTAGACTTACACAAGGCTGGAATGGGCTACAAAACTATTGCCAAGCAGCTTGGTGAGAAGGTGACAACGTCTTCTTTGGTTCTTTCGGTAAAGTCACGTAGAATGAGAATAAAATAATAAATTGATAAAATAAAATAACACAATGATATTCTCACGACGTTTCGGCCACAACACAAGCGGCCTTCATCAGGTGAAGGGGACGAGACTGTCTGGAGGACAGCGCTGGAGTGAGAAAGCCACGCTGAGATCACGACCTTTAAGCTGTGTGAGAAGAAACAAAGCGCCTTGACAAAGGAATTAGCATAGAATTTAGCATTGAAATAGCTAAGTTAAAGTATACACATCCGCCGAGGCACTCCTTGACATAGGAATTAGCATATAATTTAGCATTGAAATAGCTATTTCAATGCTGAATTCTATGCTAATTCCTTTGTCAAGGGGTGCCTTTGCGGATGTGTATGCTTTAACTTTAACATAGCCTTTTCTGTGACCAGTCACAAGCTAATCACTCAGCCATTTCAATGCTAAATTATATGCTAATTCCTTTGTCAAGGCGCTTTGTTTCTTCTCACACAGCTTAAAGGTCGTGATCTCAGCGTTGCTTTCTCACTCCAGCGCTGTCCTCCAGACAGTCTCGTCCCCTTCACCTGATGAAGGCCGCTTGTGTTGTGGCCGAAACGTCGTGAGAATATTATTGTGTTATTTTATTTTATCAATTTATTATTTTATTCTCATTCTACATGACTTTACCAAAAGAACCAAAGAAGATGAATCCTTGCAGTCACGAAAGCTATAAATCGAAAGGTGACAACAGTTGGTGCGATTATTCGCAAATGGAAGAAACACAAAAGAACTGTCAATCTCCCTCGGCCTGGGGCTCCATGCAAGATCTCACCTCGTGGAGTTGCAATGATCATGAGAACGGTGAGGAATCAGCCAAGAACTACACGGGAGGATCTTGTCAATGATCTCAAGGCAGCTAGGACTATAGTCACCAAGGAAACAATTGGTAACACACTATGCCATGAAGGACTGAAATCCTGCAGCGCCTGCAAGGTCCCCCTGCTCAAGACAGCACATACACATGCCCGTCTGAAGTTTGCCAATAAACATCTGAATGATTCAGAGGACAACTGGGTGAAGGTGTTTTGGTCAGATGAGACCAAAATGGAGCTCTTTGGCATCAACTCAACTCGCCGTGTTTGGAGGAGGAGGAATGCTGCCTATGACCCCAAGAACACCATCCCCACCGTCAAACATGGAGGTGGAAACATTATGCTTTGGGGGTGTTTTTTCTGCTAAGGGGACAGGACAACTTCACCGCATCAAAGGGACGATGGACGGGGCCATGTACCGTCATATCTTGGGTGAGAACCTCCTTCCCTCAGCCAGGGCATTGAAATTGGGTCGTGGATGGGTATTCCAGCATGACAATGACCCAAAACACACGGCCAAGGCAACAAAGGAGTGGCTCAAGAAGAAGCACATTAAGGTCCTGGAGTGGCCTAGCCAGTCTCCAGACCTTAATCCCATAGAAAATCTGTGGAGGGAGCTGAAGGTTCGAGTTGCCAAACGTCAGCCTCGGAACCTTAATGACTTGGAGAAGATCTGCAAAGAGGAGTGGGACAAAATCCCTCCGGAGATGTGTGCAAACCTGGTGGCCAACTACAAGAAACGTCTGACCTCTGTGATTGCCAACAAGGGTTTTTGCCAACCAAGTACTAAGTCATGTTTTGCAGAGGGGTGAAATACTTATTTCCCTCATTGAAATGCAAATCTATTTATAACATTTTTGACATGCGTTTTTCTGGATTTTGTTCTTGTTATTCTGTCTCTCACTGTTCAAATAAACCTACCATTAAAATTATAGACTGATCATTTCTTTGTCAGTGGGCAAATGTACAAAATCAGCACGGGATGAAATACTTTTTCCCTCACTGTATATGGGTGGAGTGGTAGCGGTTACCTCACTGCGCTACAAGCCCGGCGACCCGAGTTTGATTCCCGCTCACGGCCGTCACCAGTAAAGTGATCTTGGCCCTTCCCTAGGTCATCACCACCGGGAAAACAAAGGCTGCCGGGTGTGATTCTGGCCACCCAGCCCCTCAGCACTTGCCCCAACGGTGTGTTCATACTACATGGGTGACCTTTCGCTCTGTGCGCACAGCTGTTCACGCGCTGCCTGGTCCCCGTGGTCCCCGAGGAGCTGCGCCGGCGGCAGTGGAAGGGGGGGGAGGCGGACGGCCTCCACGACTTTCTGCGCGAGTGCGACCTGCCCGATGTGCCGGCCCCCGACAAGCCTCACACGGGTCGGCCACACCGGCACAGCGTCACACTGCCACACGGCCACCACGCCAACACTACACAGCCACACCACCACCACCACACCACCACTCCGCCACACTGCCACAGCGTCACACTGCCACCACCGCACCACCACTCCACCACATGTCACACCGCTACACCACCACTCCACCACACTGCAACACAGCCACACCACTTTGAAGTACCACATACACCACCACTTCAGTCACACAGCAACACCATGCCAGCCACACACGGATAGGGCACCCCAATTCAGCCACACCACAGATGGGACCCACGCACCAAAATGGCCACATCACATACGGGTACCCTATCCAGAACCACACATGGGCACGGCACACCACGGCATCCACACAACGCCAATTTCACCGCTGCAACCCCACCACCCCTCCAGTCCCAAAACTTCAGTCACGCCATGCCTCTAAATGAGCTATACCATTCCTCCATGTCAGCCTCACTGCCTCTCCATTTTAGCCACACAGCCCCAGCCTCGAAGCCCCAGCACCACCACTTTAGCCCCAGCATTTACTCCTCTCTCTGTGATGCCACCGCGCCCCCTACCCCCGTCGCGCTCTCAGTCCAGGCCGCGGCGGACGGGGCAACTCTGCCTCGCGAGGAGCCGGGCCCCCCGAGGGATGGGGATCCCCCGCTTGGGGATGGTGCCCCCCCTCTGGGAGATGCCCCCCCAACGGAGGTGGACGGGGCCCCCGGAAAGGCGGCCCCCGGAGAGGCGGCCCCCGGAGAGGCGGCCCCCGGAGAGGCAGCCCCCGGAGAGGCGGCTGCGGCCCCGGACGAGCCTTCGGCGCAGGGCGAACCCCCGGCCCGGGTGAGGCTGGGTGGGTGGAGAGCGTCGGTTTACGGACGCGGGTTCACGGCAGCAGAGGCACGCGCGTGGGCATCCGCGAGGTGCCGTACCGTGGCTTCACAAAAATAAGGCAGTGGAGAATTCACGTGGACTCCACCTGTTCCATCTTCATGGGATCAAGCGTTTCCCTCTCGCACACGTGGGGTTTCTCCGGGTGATATGGTTTCCTCCCACGACCGCAGAGCTTGGGCAATTTTTGGTAGCGTGAGCTCCTCACCGCATGCCTGCTGTGATAATTGCTTAGTGTAAATACAATGGTAATGATGATGGTGATGATAGGTGGTGATGATGGTGATGATGGTGGTGGTGACCTCGCTCCACATCCGCAGCTGCCTACAGAGACCGTGATTGATGCGGGGGAGGGGGAGGCCCCGCCACCAGCCCCGGTGGCCCTCCTCGAGGTCCCTCCCCTGGATGAGGCGACGTCGGTGGCGGCTGGGGGAGCAACGGCCGCCCCCCCAGCCCCCGGCGAGTCCGGCGATGCTGCTGCTGCGGCTCCAGAGGAGGCGGCGGGGCCCCCCGCAGAGGGGGCTCAGGAGGAGGGGCGCAAGAAGATCCAGGAGGAGGAGGAAGAGGAGGTGAGTAACGTGGGGTCTGGGTATGCGAGGGTGTGAGGGGGTAGTTGTGGGAGTGAGTTCTGTACTCCACGAGCTCCGCCACGTGCTCCTCTGTGTGCTCCTCCCTGTGCTCCCCTTCGCGGTCCTCCGCATGCTCCCCCACGTGCTCCGCCCCGTGCTCCCCTGCGTGCTCCCCTGCGTGCTCCTGTGTGTGCTCCCCCTCGTACTCTGCCCCGTGCTCCCCTGCGTGCTCCTGTGTGTGCTCCCTCGTGTGCTCCTCCCCGTGCTCTCCCGTGTGCTCCTCTGTGTGCTCAGGAGCTCCTGGGAGCTGAGACCCAGGAGCAGGAGGAGAAGAGGCTCAACAAAAGGACCCAGCAGCTCCTCTACACCCTGCAGGTGCGTGGCCATAGGTCAGGGTGCAGGAGGGTGGGGGTACGGGTGGAGGTATGGATGAGGTTTGGATTCTAAATTTAAGGACGAACTCTGATGGGGTTTTTTTTTGCGGACGTTTGAACCGTTTGAACCATTGTGTGGAAGTTATCGAAGTGAGCGCCATTTAAATGGGGTCACTTCCCTTTTCAGAATCAGATTGGTTGGCGTTTTCACATCCACGCCCAATTCCTGGATTAATCGACAAAAACCGGGAGCGCGTTCAGAGCGGAGGGGCAGAGGGGCAGGATGGCAGGGGGACGAGAATGTCTCCAGGCGTATTCCCGTCTCCCTGGCAGCGCTGGCAACATTGCCCTCTCCTCCTCCTCCGCAGCGAGCGATGGCGAGGTCCGGTGCCGCCTCGGTGCAGCTGCTGGAGCTATGCGGCCACAGCTCGCGCAAGCAGGCCGCCACACGCTTCTACAGCCTCCTCGTGCTCAAAAAGCAGCAGGCCGTGCAGCTGCAGCAAGGCTGCCCTTTCGGGGACATCGCTGTCTCGCCGGGGCCCAACTTCCACCTCATCATCTAAGCCAGGGCCCCACAGGGGCCCCGGTGACGTGGGTTCTGTCTCGCTCGGCACGGAGGGCCCGGTGTGTGGCCACGCCGTGGGGACGTAGGGACGCGTAGGCAATGCTCTGGGTTCGTCGAGGAGGCTCCTTGTGTGGGGTGACGAGGTGATGGAGGTGTGGGGTGACGAGGAGATGGAGGTGTGGGGTGACGAGGTGATGGAGGTGTGGGGTGACGAGGAGATGGACGTGTGGGGTGACGAGGTGATGGAGGAGTGGGATGACGAGGTGATTGAGGTATAAGGTGATGAGGTGATGGAGGTGTGAGTGGACCTGTAATAGGAGGTACAGGTGGTGTGTGATGAGGGGAGGAGTGATTCATTAAGATGTAAAGGAGCGTGGCAAGCAGCACCACTCACCTCATCTCACCTCCTCACACCAGTGGCCGAGAGCTCGCGTTGTTTTTGTGTAAAGATTTTACGAGAAGTTATTTTTTTAAACAATTCTCATGATTAATACTTCCCCGTGTTCCCACATGTGCCGTTTAGGGTTCAACATTTTTACATCGTAGATTTAACTCTCGCAAGACGACCAGAGCAGGGGCGCGGGGAGCAGAGGGGATTCACGTCGAGGCCTCGTGTTGTCTGGATGAGGTAAGGGTGAGGTCTCGATGAGGCCTCTTGCTGTTTGAGTGATATATTTGTGAGGCATTGGCGAGGAGGCCCCGCGTCCTCTGCTCTGATCGTTGGTGTGGTCGGTGCCGTCGCTGTCATCGTTAAGAGGTCACGTTTGTGGTAACGGGGGTTGCCATCGCGGGTTTAGTCTTCACGTCCATGTACGTGGATGTGTGTGTGTACATGTGTGTACGTGCATGTGTACGTCCGTCTACGTGTATATAGTTAGTGCAGCGGTTGTCGCTTTGCACTTCGAACCTGGCAACCCGAGTGTGACCATTATCTAAACCGGTCCTGGGCCTCCCTTAGGTCGACTTAACCTCAAATTGGTTCCTGGTGTGATGCGTAAACATCAACATTGGGTTGGCCAGGTGTGGTGCTGACCACCCACCCCCTCGTGTGCCGTGCCGGTCTTCATAGGTGCTCGCTAACAGCACTTGCCCTAACGGAGTGTTAAAGGCTATGCGGGGATGTTTGTATTTATACTGCTCGTTTCTAGATTTGAAGCTTTCGTGACTGCAAGGATCCATACTCTTTGGTTCTATTCGGTAAAGTCACATAGGTAAAAAAATAGAAAATCACGACGTTTCGGCCACAACATAAGTGGCCTTCATCAGGTGAAGGGACCAAACTGTCCAGAGGACAGCGTCGGAGTGAAGAAAGCCAAGCGCAGGTCGCCTCATTTTAAGCTGTGAGGGGGTAAACAGAAAACGCCTTGACAAAGGAAATTAGCATAAAACGTACTACTGAGAAAGCTTGGAATTAGCATAAGATGATAATACACCACCTTGGAAGTTTGGAATGCCACTACTTGAATAAACATACTGTACCATTGAAAATTAGTTTAATGTTTGGTTCGATTTAGAACATCTTTCCAATGGTTGCTTAATTTGAAACCATCTTCTCGGTTGAAATTGTGTCTGTGTTTGTAAATCTGAATTGCCTCGTGAACACATCTCTGATAAAAACCCGTGGGTTTGCAAAGAACCTTGGTATCGGAGAAAATTATATCGTGATCACCCACAGCGTTGTAACAGTGTTCAGCTATGGCAGAAGAATTCGTTCTGACGTGTTTCAAATCTGATTTGTGCTCGCGAATTCGGTCAGAGACATGTCGTGACCACAAGGTAATACCCATCGCTTTCACACTCACTTCTGCTGCTGTATCTTCGCCGAATTCTAAACAGATTATGTTTAAGGCCAGCCTATCTTTAATCTCAGAGAGGATAAAGCTACTCTGATTTGAACTCGATACTTTAGACAGGACTCTCCTACAAGCTAATTTAATGTTAACACAAAAAATGTCACCTTCTGATTGGAATCACATAGACAACATGACTGCTTCTTCCGCTGATTTACTGTCAGTCAAATGCAAAGCTAACCTGATTTATAAATTCAACCACCTATTAAAGAAGAACCTAGTTCCACATATAACAAAACTAGACGTCAACAAAAGCGTAATTAATCAGAGTAGCACCCCGATTTCGGACAATCTGAAAACAGTACTGGCTAGGGGGATACATTTTTCTGTCACCCCAAAACACATACCAGTAGATGATATCATCTCTCAGGTCGATGTAGCCCTCAAAGGCGTAGGACACATCCAAGCAGACGTTGCGAGAGCTGAAATAGCCACTATTCTTAAGAATGCTAAGAAACCCATTAGCAACATCAGCAAAAATGAACGCTCTGAACTCGCGAATTAAAAAAACAGAAATGATATAGTCATCCTCTCAGCCGATAAAGGCAACGCTACTGTAATTATGGATAAAGATTCATACAACAACAAAATCCAGAACCTGCTCAACGATGGAAGTTACTCAAAAATTTAAAATGACCCTACTAATAGCCTAGCGATAAAAAACAACAAGATCATCACAAATTCGACCTCCCTAATCGAACCAACTAAACGTCCCTCCCTAAAACCTTCTGCTGCAAGACCCCTTAGATTCTATGGTCTTCCCAAGATTCATAAAGAAGGCACCCCACTACAACCCATCGTATCCACGATCAACTCCCCTACCTATAGACTAGCCCGTTTTCTGTCAGATACCTTGCTGCCTTTCACTGGCAAGACCGCCTCAGCAGTACTTAATTCAGCCCAATTGGTCTCTACGGTCAAAGACGTTGTACTGTGCCCTGACGATATCCTTGTCAGCTTCGATGTGGTCTCTCTGTTCACCAAGGTCCCAGTACCTGATACCATTGAAATAATTGAAAATTTGGTCCAACATGTACTAGAACCCGATACACCTGCACTGGTTAGACACTGCCTCACCAATACCTATTTTACTTGGAATGGCACCTTCTACAAACAAAATGAGGGTACCCCCATGGGATCCCCCTTGTTACCAGTGATAGCCAATATTTTCATGGAGAAATTTGAATCAGACGCCATCCAGACTTCCACCCTCAGACCTTCCCTGTGGAAGAGATATGTAGATGACACTTTTGTCATTTGGCCACATGGCCTCCCAGCTGTGAACCTTTTCCTAGACCACATTAATTCCAGACACCCCGCCATCAAATTCACCATGGAAGTGGAGAAAGATGGCAAGCTGCCATTCTTGGATGTTCTGTTTGAGAGGAGACCTGATGGCTCATTGGGACATTCTGTCTACAGGAAACCCACCCACACAGATTCCTACTTGAAACCTGATTCCCACCACCACCCAACGCAAAATAATTCTCTCTTCAAAATGTTATACCACAGGGCTCATTGCATTTCGGACCAACACCACCTGACCAGTGAATTAAAACATGTACATCTGGCCCTCAATAGGAATGGATACTCTGACCGTACCATACGTCAAGCTGTTTCTCCCTCCATACAGAAACAACCACTTGATACTCCGATCAAAACCATCACACTACCATATATAGCAGGCGTTACTAAAAAGATCTCCAAAATTCTAAACAAACACAAGATCCTGGTCCGGTTCAATACAGTACACAAAATCCGTGACCTGATCCCTTCCGTGAAGGATGTCATTCCTGACTTACAGTACCCCAGGGTTTACAAATTGACCTACACCTGTGGTGACTACTATATCAGGGAGACGAAACGACATGTCTCTGACCGAATTCGCGTGCACAAATCAGATTTGAAACACGGCAGAACGAATTCTTCTGCCGTAGCTGGTCATTGTTACAACGCTGAGGGTGATCACGATATAATTTTCTCCGATACCAAGGTTCTTTGCAAACCCACGGGTTTTTATCAGAGATTTGTTCACGAGGCAATTCAGATTTACAAACACAGACACAATTTCAACCGAGAAGATGGTTTCAAATTAAGCAACCATTGGAAAGATGTTCTAAATCGAACCAAACATTAAACTAATTTTCAATGGTACAGTATGTTTATTCAAGTAGTGGCATTCCAAACTTCCAAGGTGGTGTATTATCATCTTATGCTAATTCCAAGCTTTCTTAGTAGTACGTTTTATGCTAATTTCCTTTGTCAAGGCGTTTTCTGTTTACCCCCTCACAGCTTAAAAGGAGGCGACCTGCGCTTGGCTTTCTTCACTCCAACGCTGTCCTCTGGACAGTTTGGTCCCTTCACCTGATGAAGGCCACTTGTGTTGTGGCCGAAACGTCGTAATTTTTTTTTTTTATTTTCATTTTCTATTTTTAGTTTTTTACCTACGTGACTTTACCGATTATACTGCTCGTCTTTACATGCGTGCGTCTGTGTATTTATACCAAGGCTACCAGATTTCTGGGAGGCTCAACTGGGACACCTGGCGAGCAGGCAGCCCTGCCCCCTACTCATAGGCCCTGCCCCCTCTATCGCTAGCACCGCCCACTGCACAGGCCACGCCCACTCATCTTCTGACCACGCCCACCACTCAGGGAGTTCGGCTCATTGCCTGCTTCACGAGTCGGGCAAATGCGGTCCTGGCCACACCTGGAGGTTTGATTGCCATAATCTATACTTGTGTGTGTGTCTGTGTTTCTTAGGTGCTTACTAAAAGCACTTGTCCCAATAGTCTATGCGTGTCTGTGTGTGTCTTACTTTATACGCGTGAGCAGCAGTCAAGAGGCTCGGAGAATGGGAAGGTCAGAGTGAGCTGATGAGCGGGAGTGTGTCAGCTGAGGGTGTCAGGATTTGTGCGTTACCACGAGGGTCAGGGTGTGTTCACCGCGGTGAGTGTGTGTCCATGTTCGAGTGTAAGATGGTGTGTCAGGGTATCACTGAATGATGTGATGACAGTATCAGAATGAGATATGTGTCACGGCGAGTATACGATGGTGAGTGTGTCAGGGTGAGTATTAGACTGAGCTCACCACCTTCACACACACATTCCCAAGCCTCTTATACTGCTTCCCATGCATGTGTACATATGCTGTGTGTGCGCGTGTGTATATAGCTGTACATTTACACGTGCGTGTGTGCGTGCGGGCACAGTCTAATTATCTGGGTTCTCTCCTCTCCGCTAATTATCCCGGCTCGGTAACGACGCGCGCCCAGTCTGTGAGAACCGTGGATGTTAAATACCCCGTGGTGTTCGAGCCCGTGGGTCGGTATCCTGAGGGGGATGGGGGTGGTTCGAGTGCATGGGGTGTGCGCCAGGAGGCGTCTGCTGCAGGCCCAGAGATGACAATCTCCCGACCGACCGTTGTTAGTGACGGAAATCTTCATCAGCCAAAGCGCTGGTAACTTGAGTCCGCGATGACCATGATGAGTGGATGGGAATTGACCACCGTCCAGCAGAGAGAGAGAGAGCCAAGCGCGATCGCCTGTGACAAGGGGGAGGAGCCAAGAGTCTTGAGCGCAGACACCGAGGGGGATCAATGGTCCAGCGGTTGTGTCCGGGACAGGGGCAGCTGCCATAGCACCGTCGATGGGCAGCAGCAATAGCAGCAGCAGGTCATGACTGGACTTGTAACCCAGAGGGCGCCGGTTAAATTCCATCTCCCGGCACGGCAATTGCAAAAAACGGGGAAATTTTATCAAATCCCTCGCTCCTCCTCGAGCAACCACAGTCGGCTGCGTGTGGTGGGATAAAGTGTGGCTACTGGCTGTATGGAGCGTGTGCACCATGGTACCTGGCTGTATGGAGCGTGTGTACCATGGTACCTGGCTGTATGCAGTGTGTATATCGTGGTAACTGGCTTTATGCAGTGTGTTTCCATGGTCACTGGCTGTTCGCGGATTGGCTAATACAATGACATTGAGGAGGGCAGGACCCCTACGGTTGCACAATAAACACGTGATGACTGAGAGTGAATACATGGTCGACTGCTCTAGTCGATCGTGCGAATTTATCATGGAAATCCACCAAGTCAGAGCGATCTCCTGCAGCTTAAATGAGCACCGAGACATTCCCATAATGGGGGCGAGTTTATAAATGGGACAGATGAAAGACTGTACTGAAATTCCACAGGTTGCCATTGACTAGACTATGACTAAAATAAAATGTAAATGATCCATACATAAATACCGGTGTGGGGTGAGGAGATGCTCGTGTCTCTGTGGGCTCCAC